CCGTTTTACTTGAGTACACGATAGAGTAGGTAAAGAGCGGTTAATGTTTAGGCTGATCAGTCCGTTTTACTTGAGTACACGATAGAGTAGGTAAAGAGCGGTTAATGTTTAGGCTGATCAGTCCGTTTTACTTGAGTACACGATAGAGTAGGTAAAGAGAACTACAGCCTCAGGTGATGTGACAGACCCACAACCCCAATCCTGTGCCACCCCCCCCCCCCCCCTCCATCAAGAGAACTACAGTCTCAGGTGATGTGACAGAGCCACAACCCCAATCCTGTGCTGACGCCTGGCTTTGAGTGAACAACACAGCCGATAACTTGTAAATAAAGAATTACACGCGTGAACTGTCTAGTACTGACATAAAGAACTGTACAGTTATATATGAGTAACAAAAGAGATTTGTCTAAGTACACAATAAACAAAGCGTATGCAGAAAAAAAAACGGAACGACAAGAAAAGTTGGGGAGATCGACAGTACATAGATCTTATAATTATTTTATTATCGATCACAATGGATAAAAAATCAAGCGTGTTCAAGTTTCAACGGAACAAATGTTACTAACGACTCATTGGACATGCGCAAACGTTAGAACTCAGCGTTTTTATTTCGACTTTCGTTTAAAATTTAAAAAGAAACGTTTTATTGAGCTGTGCGGGGTCTTCAACAATAGAGGCTAAAACCAGGTTTGAGAAAAGGAAATGGAAAACCGGAGGGCATTGGATCTTACCAGGACTCTATTGGACGCTGGTCGGCTGTTGGGGGAAAAATAAACACGGAACCAACCTTTCACAAAAGTTTGAACAAATCATTCATTATGATACCAATCCAGATTTTAATCATACAGCGCATTCAAGTACAATCAATACAAACAGTATTTCGCAACCAATGTTTCAACGATCGATTTAGTGGGATGAAAAAACCAAAATAACAATAGACAAAAAAAAATGTGTTCGATTTTTAAAATATAGGGGAAAATATTACAGGGTGTAGCTTGGGGGAGGGGATGTGGTGGTGGGTTATGAGATGCGGCTCGACCTGCGCGATATTTTCCCTTTATATAAGAAACAAGAAGTTGCATATTTTGTAATAATAATATTAAAAAAATTCATTACACGTTTTAAAACATCGGAGCCGCACACATTTCTGGAAAGGTGACTACAAAATAAGATTACCCCTCCTGAAAACGACAACTCAATACAAATCTAACGCATCTTTAACTGCAGCGTTAAGTTCGCATGTCAGTCTGGCTCCGGCTTGCGTGTGACTCACTTGTCGGACGCCTGGAGTTGATTCTATGACACGATTAGATCTATTCTGGAAAGTCTAGTCATCCCGCGTCCTTGGATACCGCCTAGTTACCGAATTAGCATCAGAAAAGCAATAAATCACGCCACATCGCGGAAGTATGAGGGAACGTAAAATATGACCATTTTCACTTCTGTAGTCGGTTTAAATGGAGGAAGGGGGGGGGGGGGGCGGTCAATACTGGCTATAATTGTATTTCTAACATAAGGCTGGCCGCGAGTGACTACTGACTAACTATACCTAACAAAGACGGTTCAGATATGTGGAAAACTAATGCACATCTAGTTACCAGAGTATCGTATGTCTAGTTACCAGAGTATCGTATGTCTAGTTACCAGAGTATCGTATGTATGTCTAATTACCAGAGTATCGTATGTCTAGTTACCAGAGTATCGTATGTCTAGTTACCAGAGTATCGTATGTATGTCTAATTACCAGAGTATCGTATGTCTAGTTACCAGAGTATCGTATGTCTAGTTACCAGAGTATCGTATGTCTAGTTACCAGAGTATCGTATGTCTAGTTACCAGAGTATCGTATGTCTAGTTACCAGAGTATCGTATGTCTAGTTACCAGAGTATTGTATATCTAATTACCAGAGTATCGTATGTCTAGTTACTAGAGTATCGTATGTCTAATTACCAGAGTATCGTATGTCAAATTACCAGAGTATCGTATGTCTAGTTACCAGAGTATCGTATGTCTAGCTACCAGAGTATCGTATGTCTAATTACCAGAGTATCGTATGTCTAGTTACCAGAGTATCGTATGCCTAGTTACCAGAGTATCGTATGTCTAGCTACCAGAGTATCGTATGTCTAGTTACCAGAGTATCGTATGTCTAATTACCAGAGTATCGTATGTCTAGTTACGTCTGTAAATGTGTGCAGTGAGGTTTACATGAGACGAGAGATCTACGGACCACAGGTGACATGTCATTGGTCATTAGCATCAGTTCCAGGTGAAAACTGGCTGGGATGATTGCATTATGAGAGCCATCAGTGCCTTAACACCGCTACACAAAGATTCTGTAAGTTCACTGCTACATGTAGCCTCTTGTTAGTTCACTGCTACATGTAGCCTCTTGTTAGTTCACTGCTACATGTAGCCCTTTTGTACTTAATGAGAGTCAAAAGTTGCCCTATTACCGCTATCCAAAGATTCTACTAGTTAACTGCTACGTGTAGCCTGGTGTACTTAATTAGAGCCAGTTTGTGCCTGTCCATCCACATAGAGAACCTGTGTTAGTTCACCTTTAGATGTATGTCGTGTTTTGTTTGGGAATGGCTGTGTGAAGAACTCGATCAAACAGGTAATTGATTAAATAATTCCTAGAAAATGATCGCTCTGATTTTTTAAACTTGCCTAGTCACGTCCAACCCCACTCCCCCCCCCCCCCCCCCCCCAACAGCTCCACCCAACACCCGCCCCATTTTGCCGTCTGCAACAAAAGCATTAATGTGATAAAAAGTCAAAGCCTGGCCTTGAGAGAGGAAAAAAAAAGTTCCGGTATAGAAATTTTATTGAGGCGTAACGATCGAGACAGGTTGGTACATGCAGGGCAGTGGGATTTCCACCAGTCGTTCATCGGTAGGGTAGGGTTGTTTTGTCTTAACGGTGAGGGGTGGGTTTTTATATAGGCTTGTCTCAAATATAGGGGTGGGTTTTTATTTAGGTTTGTCTCAGAGATAGGGGCAGGTTTTTTATATAGGCTTGTCTCAGAGATAGGGGCAGGTTTTTATATAGGCTTGTCTCAGAGATAGGGGCAGGTTTTTATATAGGCTTGTCTCAGAGATAGGGGTAGGTTTTTATATAGGTTTGTCTCACCGATGACTGATTTTTAGGGTTTGTATTAATAGTGCGTGGTAGGTTTTTAGGTTTGTTTCATCGATGAGGTACTTTTTTTTATTTGGGGGGGGGGGGGGGGAATTGTAAACTGAGTTTCTTCCATGCATCGCTTGGGGAGCCCCCCCCCCCCCCCCCGAAGAAAGTCTACCGCCCCCCCCCCCCCACCCCAACGAAATAGAATTTTATATAGAAAACATATACTTTTACCATTGTCCGCCACCCCCACCCCCGGAGAAAAAAAGTCTGGAAGATACACCGATTGTAAATGGTAGGTTTTTAACGGTGGGTTTTAGTGAGGTTTGAATGGGTTTAAAAATTAAAAGTTCCTAATTCAATGAACGAATTGACAATGGCAATAAAATAACTACATTTAAGCTCTGGTCCTGCCCGAGACACCAATTATTTCAATTATGATGAATTTATACTCCAAAACGATAATTTTTTGGGAACATAATTTTCTTCGGGAGCCTTCTGAAAAGCCAGACGTTGCGTGGTTGAATATTAGAAGCCCACTCTTCAAGTTCCCCCCCCCCCCCCTTCATTACAACACAATGGCAGCTGCTTTTAGTCTACTAGTTGCCCTTTCTTCAGTGCAAAACGTCTGTGTTGATTTGTTACATGATTCACCCTCCATTTTCTTGAAATTATCTCATATATTTATTGTGTATAAAAAAAAATCAGTATATCTGTCTTTAAAAAAAAAGTATATAAACACCGCGGGAGCCTTTTCCAGCTTATCATAAATCCAGTCGATGACGTCACGCTGGTAAATTGCAGACTCAAAGCATTGCGAGAATCAACCATTACTTTAACCCCACAGGCTTTGGTTATCACGTTTAGTGGCAACAAGGGAGAAAAATAGGTTCCACAACAGGAACTTGGGTGTACTATATCCGGCACAGAAGGGGGGGGGTGCAACAATACACGACAAAAGTACCTGAGTCCATGCTTTAATCAACAACAAAAGTCTCTTTATATTTTGCTACTTTTTGCCTTGGTGTCACCCCCCTAAATGGTGTCACCCGGTGCGGTCCGCACCCCCCCCCTCGCTACACCACTGGTCAGAATGGGTGGCATGTATTCCATCTAGCGCTAAACGTTATCAAATATTTCGTCAGCTATACAGAGATTAAAGGGAAGTAACCAAAGAAATAAATACTTGTACTGGGTTATCTAACCTAGTTGGTGTGATTCTGATTACTTCCCAATGAAAAATCTATGTAAATTAACTAAAATATTATACAATAAAAATTTTACACTATTCAGCAATGTAAAAAGAGTTCAGAAAATAATTAAATATTCCATCTTATTTCAAGTAAAAAGTGGGTTTTTGCTAAAGTTTTTCTAGGTTTTCAACAGCTTATTCATTTAATAACAAACAATCTTGAACTTTGAAAAACCTTAGACAAAAAAGAGGCAGAAAAAGAAACACAAGTCTGTGTAGAAGGAAAGAAATCTGAAAAAAAAAATCTGAAACTAGAACTCCCCAGCACATGCACTATTTTTTACCAATAGCATTTGAGTAAAATTATAGACTTTAATTTGTTTAATAAACATGGAAAGGAAATGTATTCTTAAATGGTGAAACTCTAATACATTCATTTGCACATAGAGATATATTAGGGAATCATTGTTTACATAGTATCATGTAAATTTGATGAAATATTTCCGTCATTTCATGAGTCTATAAACTCAGAATTTGTATTAGCACACAACGTATTTATTGCATACTAAATGTTTTACCCAAGAAATCACTTAAATGCAGCTTACAGTCCCCTGTTAGTTAGGAGTTAGGCTGTGGCACTGTGTGCCCCCCCCCCCCCATGCTGAGGAATGCGCTTACCTCTTCTGTCTCTGTCAGTGGACAAATGCTGACCAGATATTCCACCAGCTGTGAGTGCTCACCAGGGTGGAAGTGACGACCTTTGCCCTGACTGTACAGCCATTCTCCCAACAATCTACAGATAAAGTATACTACATAAAAAGTATACAACATATAAAGTATCACATTATTACTGTATTTCACACCAAACAGTACATTACATAGAACACCACAATTCATTCAACACACTTCAATGCATCATTTCACACTAGCATAGTTTAACTTTTTGTTAAATTTTTATTGTAAGTTAGTGGTTCACAAGCATTGTTTTTATGGCTTTTATTTGAATATTGTTAAAAACCTACATAGACTCAATTGTTAATTTTTTTCTGAACACTAACAAGGTGATGCTACAAATTGCAAACTACTAATTAAAATTAAAGTAAATCTTACTTTTCTTTCTCTGTCAAAATAAAGCCATCAACAATCTCCACTGCAGGACACCAGTTCCAAATAAATGGATAATAATCAAATTTTGTAGTCACAGTTAAGTAAAAATATTCTTCAAATAAATGGATAATGACCAAATTTTGTAGTCAAAGTTGATAAAAAAAATTGCTCAAATATTAAGTAAGAAACTTAACTAGCACATCTTCTGATAATTAATGACCAAATATTGAGAACATATAAAGAAAGTAAAACAGACAAAAAAGATATGAGTAAAATAAAGAAAAGTGAGGTATTTTTTCAGTTTTTCTCAATAAAGTGTATTGGAGGCTAATTATGATTAGCTAATCCTTTAATGAGGTGGAAATCAATACTAATAATAGTAGGATAGGCTACTATTTAACATTAGTTAAACCAAAAAAAAATATATAATAAATAATAATAATAAATAATTTTGGTTTAACAATTAGAGAAATGGATATTTGTTATTTTTTGTCTGTCCTAAAAGTCAGGTAAACAATTAAATACAAGGATATTTGTTATTTTCTGTCATTAGCACACATGGATTATCAGCAATGGACAGTTGTTGCAGGTGTGATAAGCCAGTCAGGTAACTAATCTGGTTAAGGAAATAAATAAATAGGCACTTAAAAATTTTAGTTAATTATTTTATTATTAGGTTATTGTTTAAAATTATGATAATTTAAGATTGTTTAAAATACCATAACAAAATTTAAAAATTAATCTAATATGAAAGTACCTCATTTAAATCATAAATGCTGTTTCCTGCTAGGGAAAGTATTGTCAGACTGGGAGGGAGACAAGTGGCTGCTGGCTTCAGCGATGAGATGTCATTGCCATGCAACAGTAAGGTCTACAGAAATAAGAATGGCTTAGTGGCTTATAGCTCACAAACAAAGTAAGAAAGTTATCCCTTTTTGATCTGATGGCCAATAGAAAGGGTCATTTAACTTTGGTTATTATTTAAAAACTCAAAGCAAAAAACAAAATGGTGATATTTTTAATCTCACAGTCAACCACACAGTGTACGAAACTAACCTTTAGCTGAGCAAAGCTGCTGAGATCTGATATGTGATTGATGTCATTACCAGATAAATCTAAGTAGTGAAGCTTCCCTCCCTTGGGTAAATGTTCGATCATCTGGTGACAAATATATTTATTTTTATTTCAAAGCAGTTTAATCACATTCATTCTTTGTTTCAAAATATAACCAGTGTCCCTCTTCAAGTCCATACAACAGACTGAGTTAAAAAGAAAGTATTGACAAAATATAATTATTTAATAATTTATTTATTGGCAGCTTTCAATCTTTTGTAAACACAGAAATTTAGAACAAGCAATACACTCACTACACACACACAATCAGTTCTATAAGGTAATCACTAAATGAGTTTGTATTCTAAGAATAAACAAATATTAAAAAGTTGGTGTGCCTATGTAGGAAAAAAATGTACCTTAATAGAATTAGAGGATAAGTCAAGCCACATTAGCTCAGTCAGTGTCTGTAAATCTTCAATGGCCACAATACTGTTACCAGACAGACTCAAGACAGTAAGTGACTGGAGTTTATGGAGGCCTGACATCCTCACAATGTGATTGTTCACTGCAGAAAGCTAAGAAACAAAAGTGCAAGTTTAAATCAAAAGGTTAATTAGGTTCAAGTAAAAAATGTGTTGAGCTTAGAAATGTGCCATGGTCATATTATTTTTTTTAAATTATGTATAGTTCAAAAACAAATTTCAATTATTTAAAGAACAGGGTCTATTTGTATCTAGGTAAAAGTTAGATAAACTAGATTTACCTGAGTAAGTCCACAACACTGTTCTAAGCCATCAAGTTTACTTAAGTTGTTGTTGTCCAAAATCAAAGTTTTTGGCACAGCCCCTTCTGGCAATTGAATAGATGTTAAGTTTTGGCCTCCAAGATCCAGCACCTCGGCATCGCCTTCCTCTGGTTCACTGTCTTCAATGTCCGTCATCTCTATTTTATTTTCTAAACAAAATAAAAATTCAACTAGAAACAGATATTAATATTATAAGGGAAAATATATTACCCCCTACCACCTCCAAAATTTACCAATTCTTTTGGTGATGATAAAATTATCTAAACAGATAACTGTTTAGAAGGCATTGTCAATTTGGCATATATTAACTTTCTGTCTGATGTACTATTTAAAGGGAAAAAAAGGTCAAGCTTAGCCTAGCTTTATAATGACTGTAAAAGAATTAATTGGCATGTGACCAGATTTCATTATTAATTTTGTTATTTATTTTTTAAAAATATTTTTTTTTGGTTTAAATTTGACAGAAGCATCTTGTTTATAGATCTGGCTAAAAATTACCAGGATTGATTAAAACCTATAAAAAAAGTATGATGAATAATCTCATTGCCCAATTATGGCTATCCTTGCTCTTTGGCCCCTTCTGGTATTGGTAAATTGATTATTTTAGTGGTGGCATCACAAGTGGAAAATTTAAAGGTAGCTCTATCTTTTAAAATTCAACTAATTGTAAATGGATGAACCAAGCAAGACTGATCTCTGTTTAAAAATGGACACTTAGTATTTGATGTAAACTTGCCTTTAGCACATTTTTTAGGACCAATAATTGAGAATATTAAGCAGAACATAAGGTATTTAATGCTTTTTTGACAACACTAAAACTTGTGACAAATTATATGTCTAACTAAAATTATTTCATAAATTTTAAAAAATCATCAGGAGAAAAATATATTCAATAAAAATAAAACTTGATCGCCATGTATTTGAATTGGAAGAAATCCGACAGATGACACATTAATGCTGAATAGTCAATCGTATCACAACACTCGTTAAAAATAACCTATCATATCAGTCATAACATTATGGTCATTTAAAAACAAATGCATTTTTTCAAGTATTTTTCTAGTCTACCGATAAATTTGGATGATTAAAATTAGAATCAAATTAAAAGTATGTAAATAGTTTTTCCTGTTTAAGTTGACCAAAAATGAAGTTTAAAATCTAAGGTGACACTCTACTTACAGATTGACAGTTGTCCCTAAAACATTTAGCCACTTTGCACCATGTCGCTTTCTCTATTTTTAATATTGGGCTGATAACAGTTTAAACTGGGAATGGATTATTATTACTCATCTATTTTAATAGGCCTATCATTAAGCATAATTAATAATAATTAAATCTGTGATAATAGTGATTATTGATAATGTGATAAGGTTCCAACTGGGAATAGGCCTAGCTAGATAATTTAATATATTAAATAAGTATACCTCAGTAACCTGGCCTTTTCCCATTCAAAATAGAATACTTTTAAAATAGGTCTATTTATTATTTAAAATTACTTTTATAAGTTTAATTGATAGGCCTAAAATTATTAATTTAGTCTAAGATTTCAGTATTAAAAATTTTTTTAAACTGTAAATTGACTCCTCAGTTAAGCCCTTCAATTCACAGCTTCCTGGTTTGTTTGTTTTGATGCCACCTCACGGCCCATTACTAAAATGGCAACCAGTTTTGCTTTCACTACGCGGTAGAGGGATAGAACTAATGATTATGAAGCCATTGTCAATTTTAGAAAGCGGAATATCTGAACTAAGTCTGTTATTTAAGAATTGTCAGGTGTACTTTTGACATAATTTCTTTGTTTGTCTCACAAGCAGTGCCTTAGTGAAAGTAGCTCTATGTATTCTTGTCTTTCAAATCAAATAACTCTAAAATACTGCTTCGATACCAAACAAGCCTATGTGAATACTAAACTTGAAAACATTAATTTAACACACATTACAGTAAACCCGTAATAAATTTTGTATTTATAAGATGTGTTAAATGTAAATGATCACCACTCAATAATAATATATGCTAAGTTGGCTTAGTTTACTAGCGTGTTAGCTATTATTATTGGTACATTTTTATTAAAAAAATTTTTTGAAATTTTCATCAAAATGCCTAACTTCTTAGTGGACTTTCATTTCAATCATTATTAATTCTTATGTTATAATCTATAGCCTATATATAATTCTCTTCTTGGAGACGACAGAAATCACCAAGCTGTAAGCGTGCTCCCTACCACCCCCACATGGTCTGGTGAGCTGTGGTTCACGATAAATGTTTACAATTGTAGAGCCGGGTTTAGTGACGGCTATTAGGGGCAGATAATTTAGTTTGAAACTATTTTAAACTTAGGGGAGGGGGTGGGGAAAGTAGCGGGGGGGGGGTATCATCCTTAACGACCTACTGATAGTGTTTTAAAGCAAATATTTTCAGTGGCAGCGTTGGTACTGTCGAATTCACAAATTATAAATTACTGGAAAGTAGAAAATAAAACAACAAAATAGCGGCGTATGATATGCCGCGGGTCGGCTCGTACTCGACGACCGTCGACGTAAAAATAAAAATTTAATCAGGAATATATTTTTTCTATTCTAGATTCTGTGTTAAGATAAAATAAATTTGGGACCATTGTCTTTTAATAGTAATATTAAAGGTAAAACTCCATTTCAGCGTATTTTATTCCCCGTTGCTTGTTTACCTCCAGTTGAGCGTATTTTATTATAACAACCGAAACACACCAAAACATTAGGAAAACACGATTTATTTTTTGTATTGTATTTCTGTTTTCACAAATGAATAAAATGAATGTTTAAAAAACACGACTTGTTTATTTGTATTGTATTTTTTTAAAAAAAGGCATTTGTCTCATGGTGAAACTGATACACTGTTAATCATTCTGTTTTATATTTTTGTATTTATGCAATAAATGTACAAACTCTGTGTTTTTTAATTTGACAGTTTTGCTAAAACTGAAAAAAAAATTTACTATAGAGTTGTATGTTATTTAAATTCATAGTAAATCTACCATCCTTCCCTTTTTTGTATGAGTAAATTTCTGACTTTTAAAAAAAAATTGATGTGGGGTCGTCCATAAATGACGTCACACTCGTAAGGGAGAGGGGGGTCAGCAATTTTGTGACGATGTGTGATGAGGGGGAGGGGGTGGGGTTTCAGATGGTGTGACGTCCCTTTTTTTGCATTATAAAAAAGCAATGTTAGAAAAACAAGTTTTAGCCGTTATTTCGCGTTTTAGAAAACGGTTTTAATAAATTGTAATATGAATTGATCAAAATACTCTATGTTGACAGAGTTCTGACAAGATTTTGGAAAAATTATCGATGTTTTAAGAAAAATTCAACAGAAATTTTGAGGGGGGGGGGGTTGTAGGCTGAGGTGTGACGTCATTTTAGGGGGGGGGGTCTGACTTTTTGTGACGACGTGTAACGGAGGGGAGGGGAGAGGTAAAAATCGTAAAAAAGCGTGTCGTCACAAAAAGCAAGACCCCCCCCCCCAAATGACGTAGCACCATCTGAACCCCCCCCCCCTCATCACACACCGTCACAAAATTACCCCCCCCCCCTCCCCCTACGAGTGTGACGTCATTTATGGACGACCTCTAACATTATTTTTTTTTAAAATGACAACGTGAGTTGTCACACTTTCTCTAACACTCCAAGCCACCCCTCACCAAATTCCACCCCCCCCCTCGGCCCACTTTCGGCAGCAGCATCATTGTGCCTTTTAATACTTTTATTCAGTTTAGTTGAAATTGGAACACTTAATTGTACAGAGTGTGCATCTCTATTTTTGTAACCAACAAACAAAGCACTTCAGTCAGTCCCTTTGTTGTTTTTTATTCATTTGTTAAAACAAAAATACAATACAAATAAATAAGTCGTGTTTTTTAAACATTCATTTTATTCATTTGTGAAAACAGAAATACAATAGGCCTACAAAAAATAAATCGTGTTTTCCTAATGTTTTGGTGTGTTTCGGTTGTTATAATAAAATACGCTCAACTGGAGGTAAACAAGCAACGGAGAATAAAATACGCTGAAATGGAGTTTTACCATATTAAATTACTATTACTTATGGTGGTAGCTTTTATAATAGGCTTCAGCTGTGATATCTTTTTACACTAAAAAATTTTCTACTTGGTTGTTTACCTTCGCGATCGGCCATATTGAATTGTTTTTATTTCGCGGTTCCTATAGTCACGGTCCTAATATTTCTAAATTAGAAATATTCTAAAGTATTAAAATTTATGAATAATTTTAATACATAATTTAGAAATAGTGCATAGTAATATATAAAGATATAATTTATGAAGTTTTAAAATTTAATGACCATAATTATTTTTATAAAACATTTTCTGCTGCGTGACTTGTGTTGTCCTTTCTGGTTTCCGGTCGTCTACAATGAAGTACGGGAAGAGCATCTTAGAAAATTACCTTTTTTTTCTATCTTAATCCATCTTATTAAATTTTTAATACTTTTTACTTTTTTATTACCGTCTGCATTGTCTACGAATTATATCATTTATTTTTATATGTATTATAACAAAAATTATAATAGTTTAACGTATTTTATGCTTAGAGTATCGCAGGTCTAAACTAGATTCTAAATGCTATTATCCGTTTCAGGATCGAACTTTGTTCATACAGTGGCCTCAAAATCTACCCAGGCCATGGCAAACGCTTGGTCAAGGCAGATGGCAGGGTATGTATTGAAAGCATAGATACTAGATACAGAATCTAGTTAAAATTTTCAATTAAAGTTTAAAACCCTTGAAATGATGTTGGTTCAGATGTCATGGATGCAAAGTGATCAAAGTTCTTGAGTTGAAACTTGTCAAAGTCTAAATCTAGACTTGATTTTTCTATTTTAAAGGAGAATCTAGATCTAGCTAGGGGTATTAGGTCTCTCAGTTCAAGGAATGATAATAAACTTGGAATTTGTAATATATTGGGATGATTTGGGCAACTTTTGCATAGCTAGTATTTTGTTGTTACGCTTTCCAAAGTTGTAGTACTGACCAGAGACTGTCATGGGTGTAACATGATTAGGCCTAAATCTTGGTCAGTTATGGGTTGATATTAGGCCTATAGCTAAAACGTTTCAAGTGTCAACATTATCACGGTCTGTAAAGGCGGTCTTCCCTGAGATGGATGAAAGTACTGCTAATTGAGAAAATGTTTTGAATGGAATTTTAGTTTTGGGACAGTTGTATAATCCATTGCATATAATCATGAATAGTAGATGTTTGTAATGTATCCTACCAAGAGATTAAATGTATAGGGAGTTGTGCTATTGCTCGTAAGTCTAAGAGCCTAATAACCCACTTCATTAAGTAAGTCATTAACTGTTTTGATTCTTAGCACGACGAACTTTTTTAGCCTGTATTTTCTTTTCACCCATGCATTATTCAATTCTGCAATAACTTTCTTTCCCAGACTTTTCACTTTTTGAGCCACAAATGTGAGCGCTCACATGCAATGAAACGCAACCCTCGTAATATCAACTGGACTGTGCTGTACCGTAGGAAACACAAGAAGGGTCAAGTTGAAGAGATTTCCAAGAGAAGGTCACGTCGCACTCAAAAGTTCCAAAGAGCTATTACTGGTGCTACTCTTAATGATATTTTGGCAAAGAGGAACCAAAAACCTGAAGTGCGCAAAGCTCAGCGTGAGCAGGCCATCAGGTAGGTTGCTGTTAAAATGTCATCCCCATTCAGAGTCGCCTGTTTGCTATTATTCCTTGCAACTTTAGTTTGTGTGAATTCATTTAGTTTTTTTTCCTTTATTTTCTGTTCCTAGTCTTCAATTGCTGGTACTTAAATACACATGGCGTTGCTTATGTCAATGCTAACCCCAATCCTAGTCCGACCATATGCCTAACCCTGATTTCTAATCACAACAAACACACCTATTTTTGTTGGGCGAGTCTATTATCAGTATCTACAATCTTCCTTAACCATTAATGTCCCATTCATTCTACCAAAACTCCACCCATGACGGCCCAATGTAAGGAGCATAACTCTGTATGATCAAGTGAATAGTTTCACAAAATATTTGTTTTTGTCTAAATGAAATTGAAAATTAAGATAAAAACTACTGCTTAATGTTGGGAATAAACCTGGCTTTCCAACAGTATTAAATAGAATATATTATATTCGGTAAAAGTACAGTAAAAAAATAAAAAATGTCGGAGAAAATTCAAAACAGGTCATTTTCGGTAGTCAACTTTATTTATTTTTGTCTAAACAACTAAGCATCGAATTTAACAGTTAAATATCAATTTGGTTATGTTTAAGATAAATAATTCATAAAATACATGCCTAGATACGTTTAGAGTAGGGACTTGGATGAAATTTCATTTTAAAAAAAATAAAAAATGTAGTAGCACCAGTTTATAGAGCTCATTTAGACAAGAACAAAGATACTTTTATTTTAATTTTAGCTCAAACGGTTACGAAGTTATGAATTTTTAATGTATTTAATTTTCGGGTTTTTTTAATATGGGGTTTTCTCAATTTTTTGCTTCCCTACTTTTTTGGATGCGAACTAAAATCTGTGTAACTTTTTAAATAGCAGGTATTTTTTAAAGAAAATTCACTAAGATCAAGCTTATGATATCAGTAAAAGAGTAAGATAAAAATAATTGAATTGGATGAGAATGATCATAAAAAATAATGTTAACAAAGAGGGTCACCCCCCTAAAAATTTTTAATAAGCGTCTTTGATAGGCTACACACAATCTGTTGGAATATCTTATGGAATATCTTACTGAAAATTGGCCTGAATAGTGCCAACACTGTATACATTAACAGAAAGTCAAAATATTTTACTTAGCTTATGTGGTTTTATTACAATGTTGGACAAAATAAAAAAGTCATTTTTATTCTGCGCAACTACTTTTTTTGCAAGAAAGAAGTACAATGTTGAGCTGATTTTAGATTACTTTGCTTATATGCAAGAGATATTGTAAACATGAACATTATTATATACTTTGATATTTCCTTTGTTCAAATTTGATTTTAAAAATATTTTATTTAATGAAAAAGGGGTTTAAACTCATATACCCCCCTTAATTTTAAACAATAAATTCTGCTATAGGCAACACATAATCTGTTGCCAAATTTTTATTATATGGAATATCTTAATGAAAATTTGCCTAATTGGTGCCAACATTGTATACATCCACACAAAGTAAAAATATTTCACTTAGCTTATGTGGTTTTGTTACAATGTTGGTCAAATTTAAAAAGTCATTTTTGTTCTGCGCAACTACTTTTTTGCAAGAAAGAAGTACAATGCTAAACTGATTTTAGATAACTAAAATGGTATCTAAATGTTGTCAATATGCTTGATATTTCATCCATGTTATGTGTATGTTACATAGAATTGATATAATTTAATTTACAATTATTGTTGAACAAATAATTTAATAATTGAAATGATTTTATATTGGTGGAGTAATGATCACCATTTAATGTTAAAGGTAAGTTTTATAATTTAGAAACATCTGTCATATATTTAAGTGACATCTCATGCTGTGTGGATAACATGTTTAAGTCTGTTAGCTTGTATCACTTTTTTACTTTAAAAAATAACACCATCAATGATTTAAAAATGAAATCTGATTAAACATCTACTGAAGCTGTGTCTCCTCTGGCTGATAGCTTTTAGAACTAATAAAAACCAGCAACATCCATTCTTAAGTGGACCTATTTCTCCTTCATTGAAGTTGCTTATGAGTAGATCCACATCTTTTGATTCTCTATCCCCTTGTGAACTGGTACATTTTATCTAGGGCCAAGACTAGTAAAAAAGCAACTGAGATGTATACTACAGCAAAAATACAGTAGTATCATATGTACTTCAAATAGGCCTACAGATGAAGACAGAACATTGTACAAGGATTGTAGTAATTTAGTAATAAATCTAAAACGAACAAAGTCCTAGAGCTATAAAGAAAATATAGGACTCCTAAAATGTTTGAATATTAGTAATATTGGTAATAAAAATTCGCTTGAAAAGCAATCAAAAGGCTATATGTTTAATATAGAATTACCCTATTGGCCTATATTTTATAGACCAAATGATAGGCAAATGGAATTTTATATTAGATTCTAGATCTAGGCTTATATCTGCTATATCAAGCTTTAAAATTTAAGAAAAATGTGGAAAGTACACAAGTTACTATAATGATAGCTAATATAAAATACAGAACTCATTCAAGAACAATATAGATCTATATCTAGGCCATACAATTAAAATGAAACAATAATTCAACTTGAAAAATTTCGCAGAAATCTATTTTTAGATCTAACTCAAAATTACAAAAAAAATGAATCTAAATAGAAAATATGCGCACAAAGTCAACAAAAAATCATAGTTTTATCAATATAAAATATAATTCTATAATTTAAAATGATTTTAAAGTCAGATTCGTGTGGATGTTGCTGGATTTACAAATCAATTCAATTGAGAGCAATGGCGTCATTAACAACACAAGTACACTTCCGGTTTAAACCTCTGTCTTTCCCGGTAGTCGTAAAATGGCTTAAGCCTATACTTTCTAAACTATTTATAAAAAAATACTTTGCTATCGATTAACATTATGAAAATTTACACACATAAAGAAAAATGGTGATTATGGTCGGAGGGCTTTTTATTGGCCTTCTTTGTTAGTAAGTTTTTATGGTACAAAGAGTTTTACGTAGCCAAAGTTTGGCTCCAAAAATCCATTTTCACCTTCAACAAAATCTCAAAACAAAAATACCGTAACATATGAAATCCATTTGTTTTTCAGAATCAGTCATCAAATTATTAGTAGCATCGGCGATTTATAATAAAAAAAATTTTTTTCGATCATCGCCCGCGACCGCACGGCTAAATCGACGAAACTCGGTATGGACAGAAAACTCTCGTTTTTAGTGCCTCAAAATCTACGTCATCCAAGTCCCTAGTTTAGAGGCATTATTTTATTTTATTTTTAACATTAAATCTACTAAAAAAAGGACAGATGAGTCTAAAATTTCGAGATCGAAAGAAGATATTATTTTTTATCTTTCAAAAGCGCCATTGAAATTATAAGACCGGAAAAGGATGGTGAAACTATCCGACTTCCTGTTTAGTTAAAAATTAGGATTTGTAGGCCAAATTTTAATGAAACAAATTTAATTTTTCTATGCGTATTTTAAGCGGGCGGCAGCGGGCGTTACGGGACATTAATGGTTAAACTGGAATCTTACCTGTGTAAGCCAGCTTTTTGCTTCCCAGTAGGTGCAATTCTTTGATATTATGGTCACTATCTTGCATAATCAGGTGGCTTTGTTTTCTTATCACCAGTACATACTCTGTATTATTACTGGTATTATTCATTTTTTAATGTCTTTGTAATTATTAATGCTGCATGTGTATGTCACAATTAGTATTACTATTAATTCTTGCTAAATCCTATACATGTGCAAATCTCCAGTATAAATGTCCAGTTGTCTATTTTTTAAAGTAATTTGAAGTCTTCCATGTTACTGTTAAAATGTCTGGCATGAATAATTTTTAATGCCTTTCCTCTTAGGTAACTCAATATATCTTTTAATACATTTGACTTTGCCAGGCACAAGTATTAATTTAAGTATTATTTGTGTTCTCTAGAGCATACAAAGAGAAAGTTAAAGTAAAGGAGGCCCAGAAAAAGACTGTAAAGGTAATTACTTTCAAATTGTAGTGTTTTGTCCTTCTCGTTTTATGTGATCAATCAGTTTGATTTGTGATTGTTAGGTTTTGAAGTAGGGGTTTTGTTACTGATGCTTTGTTAGTGCAACAGTTGTATTGACTTTGTGTCTTTAAATTTTCAGCCTGTACCTACCAAGCAACCTAAACAAGCCAAGGCTCCTAAACAACCTATGGCCAAAGCACCTAGAGTTGGTGGAAAACGATAGATAATGAAATAAAGATTTGCCATTTCTTTTTGCCTTTTTTTTAGTTTTTTTGGTATGTTAGTGTGTAGCAGGATTTTATGCACAGTGGCCTCCTAATACAATTGCTTGGGATAAAGCCTGTTATGTAATACATATGAATTATATTTTTAGAGACTTGAATATTTTCAGTACAATAGTATAGAAATATTTGAGTTACTTCAAAACATTTGTACATTAGATAGTCCATCATAGTACAGACCTTTATAATTTATTTTTTCGCTAGAAGGTTACTTTCAACCTTGGATTAATAATAAATCAGATGGTGTTAGTTACCTCACAATTTAAAGACAGTTACAAATACTAAGGACGTTTTGACCCAAGGTCTTGGTCATAACACTTGTGGTTTCAGATTAGACAGAAAAGACCAGTAACACAATTGTAACTGTCTTTAACTTGTGAGGTAACTAACACTATGTTCTATTACTTATTAACCTCACTGCAGCTACCATTTGTATTAATCCTTTCAACGTAGGATAGATGGTGTTCTCATACTATGCACAAAACGAACTTCACATTAATACTAATAGTTTCGCTGTCTGTCTATCTGACAAGAACGCTCTGTCTGACAAGAACGCTCTGTCTGACAAGAACGCTCTAGAGAAAACACAAGCAATTTAAAAACATGCACAGTAATTCGAAAAACGAAATATGACGTCGACACATTTAGCGTAGAGTAGGACATAATCTCAAACCAGAGAGTGCACACAGTATTGTAATGACGTCATTGATTCTCGCGTAAGTAAACATTGAAAAAAAGGAAATGTTGTCTAATCTAAATGGTTTGCGTGAAGAGTTTCTTGCATACAATTCTTCGGGTAGGGGCGAAGCCCCACCCCCCGCGTAAGAACGTCTGAGCCCCCCCCCCCCTCCCCAACTCAAAAGAAATTTCCTCATCGATACTCTATAATAAAATTACCGCCTAATTAATGTGTCTAATCTAAAAAGTGGTTTTCTTGCAATGGGACGGTAGACATGTTTTTTTTTTTTGGGGGGGGGGGGGGTGGTGGGGGGGGGGGTGGGGGGTGGGTTGGTTTCAGTGTTTCTTTCAGACTTTTTCCTCCCCGGAGAGGGGTGGGGGTACTTGAAATTTTCGGGGGCGGGGGTAGAATTTTCTGGGAGGGGGCGGACACTGGAAAAAGTTTATAATTATATTTCGTTGAATGGGACGGTAGACATGTTTTTTTTGGGGGTGGGGGGTGGTGGAGGGGTGGGAGGGGTGGTGTGGGGGGTGGTGTGTGTGGGGGGGGTGGGGGTGGGGTGTGGGGGGGTGGGTTGGTTTCAGTGTTTCTTTCAGACTTTTTCCTCCCCGGAGAGGGGTGGGGGTACTTGAAATTTTCGGGGGCGGGGGTAGAATTTTCTGGGAGGGGGCGGACACTGGAAAAAGTATATAATTATATTTCGTTGAATGGGACGGTAGACATGTTTTTTTTTGGGGGGTGGGGGGTGGGGGCGGTGTGTGGAGGGGGTGGTGTGTGGGGGTGAGGGGTGGGGGTGGTGTGTGGTGGGGGGTGGGGGTGGGGTTGGTGTGTGGGGGTGGGGTGGGGGTGGTGTGTGGGAGGGTGGGTTGGTTTTAGTTTAGAGAAAAGAGACAGCACTATCAGCCTAGCGCCCGTTGTACCCTTCCTCAACGGGCCATTTTTCTCGTTAGTATTAATAGTTTCGCTGTCTGTCAAGAACGCTCTGTCTGACAAGAACGCTCTAGAGAAAACACAAGCAAAATAAAAACATGCACAGTAATTCGAAAAACGAAATATGACGTCGACACATTTAGCGTAGAGTAGAACATAATCTCAAACCAGAGAGTGCACACAGTAATATGACGTCATTGATTATCGCGTAAACATTGAAAAAAAGGAAATGTTGTCTAATCTAAATGGTTTGCGTGAAGAGTTTCTTGCATACAATTCTTCGGGTAGGGGCTTAGCCCCACCCCCCGCGTAAGAACGTCTGAGCCCCCCCCCCCCCCTCCCCAACTCAAAAGAAATTTCCTCATCGATACTCTATAATAAAATTACAGCCTAATTAATGTGTCTAATCTAAAAAGTGGTTTTCTTGCAATGGGAAGGTAGACATGTTTTTTTTTTTGGGGGGGTTGGGGGGGGGGGGGTGGTGTGTAGGGGTGGGGGGTGGGTTGGTTTCAGTGTTTCTTTCAGACTTTTTCCTCCCCGGAGAGGGGTGGGGGTACTTGAAATTTTCGGGGGCGGGGGTAGAATATTCTGGGAGGGGGCGGACACTGGAAAAAGTATATAATTATATTTCGTTGAATGGGACGGTAGACATGTTTTTTTTGGGGGGGTGGGGGGGCGGTGTGTGGAGGGGGTGGTGTGTGGGGGTGAGGGGTTGGGTGGGGTGGGGGTGGGGGGTGGGTTGGTTTTAGTTTAGAGAAAAGAGACAGCACTATCAGCCTAGCGCCCGTTGTACCCTTCCTCAACGGGCCATTTATCTAGTAGATTATAATTAAGTAGCCATGGGTACCCTCTAGGCCACGGGTTCCCAACCTGGGGGTCGCGAAGGTCTTTCTGGGGGGTCGCCAACTGGTATACTAAACCTTAGTAATTTGAAACAAAACATAAATATTTAGAAGAATTTTTTTTAATTCGGCTTCATTAACATCACTGGAAATGCAAAAGAGAAGAAACAAAGCGCACTGTACAAAGCTGTTCTCAGTCACGAATCTATTAAATCTAAAAAAAACAACTAAAACGTCATTTGAGACGAGTCATTCGGAACACAACAAGAAATATATGGAGTTCTTTCGTCGGTAAGAAGCTAGTTGCAAACGCCAGAGACTTGATCGAACAGGAAGTTTTTACTAGCATTAGTGCAAGCGTCAAATGAAGTCGCGATAGAAAATGCCAAGCAAAAAAAAAAAAAAATAGGAGAAAATCTCATCAAACGCTGCATGTACGTAAATGTTAAATAACACATTTTTATTGAAATTAATCTTTCACCATTGTTTGCTTTTCAAGTTGATAAATCAACAGACGTGAGTTCGTGTTCGTAGTTACTAGTCTGTGTCTATATTCATGCGGATGATAGCAAAGAAGAGTTGCTCTTTTTATGAAGATAGCATGGAGAAAATAAATACCTTTTTTGAAACGGGATGATTAAAACGGCTGTGTGGGTTTTTACGGATGGTGCGCCATCTCTGTTTAGCTCAAAATCGGGCTTTCAGAAAACAGAAAAGATTTAGCTCCCTAACCATTGCCCTAACCAATCGACATCTTCTACACTACAATACGCTGGCTGTCAAACGAAATGTTGTAAATTGTGTTTTTGAATTGAAATCTGAAATCAAATTGTTCTTGGGAGTGCAAAGGAAACAAGACTTTTTGGTATAATTAAAACGACATAGATCTAGAGTGGTTGGAGAGGGTATCGTACCTAGCAGATATGTTCGAACATCAAGATAAGCTTAACCTGAAGCTTCAGGGAAAACGAACGAATATTATAACTTTCGATGATAATCTGGGGGCATTTTTATCAAAGCTGCAAAATCGGAAAGAAGATAAATCTAGAGAATATTGTAAATTTGAGAAACTCTGCGGTGTGGTAGATGAATCTAATTGTGAGATAATTAAAATTTTGAAAGAAGCGGTTTCTGGGCATCTTGAATCTCTTGAAAACGAACTGCATCGCTATTTCTCTGAGCTGAAAAAAGAAGAATCTGCATTTACGCATTACCCATTCTCTTCTTCCCTTGACTGCCAGCATTCCCGATGAATTACAAAATGAATTCTTTGATTTGCAGAAAGATTCCGAGTAAGATGAAAAGCTGCAGACACAATTTTGGTGTAGTATTCACCATTCATACCCACTCGTTAAATTGATTGACTTTTCGAGAATATATTTTCAACACTATTCTTCGATTAAAAACAAAATTAAGATAATTATAATGACATAGGTTGGCGTTAACAAAAATTTTTTTAAGTTAAAAACTTAACCACGAAGGTTGAGTGAATAGTATGCAATTTTACTCATGCTATTAAAACAGTTATCAAGAGTAGTTCATATTGAAAGTCTACAAGAAAATCTTATTTTAATGCTTGTTAATTTCCATACTAATTTCGGCTTTTTAATTCTATGGGGGTCGCGGGTCACTTACTTTTTATAAATTGGGGGTCGCCACTCGAAAAAGGTTAGGAACCACTGCTCTAGGCCATTTCTGTTTATATTTTTACTATTGTTATACTTATTTGGAAAAAATAATAGTTGTTGGTTGAAACACTGCTTCACTACATGAGCAATATTAGTGACAAGCTAAAATTCTGACACATTTAAAATATCAGGCTACCAATATCTGTTTTAAAAAATTAGTCTACACACCATTTTAAATGCACACACTGATTAAGAGATTAAGGTGATTCCGTTAAACACCAGGCTGTTCAATGCGTTTCCCCCCTCACCAACAGTCACTTTCCTATTTTTATGTTGGTGTCACGCAGTTAAAGTTAATGTAGAAAATGAGATACATGAGCTTGTATCTAATAGCAGAGAAAGGGTTTATTTTCTTAACTTTGATTGTGTATAATTTATTAATGCAGCTCAAAATGAACTTGCTTGATTTTGTTTCTACTGAGACACAAATGCTGCCAAAGTGCATAGGTGATATCTCTTCCTTGAGTACATCCTTGAGTACATCAGCTATTTGGAGATAATTGGCCTGATAACATTTACTGCCCATGCCTTATGCATTGACTTCCAATGCATGAATGTCTATCAGACTACAGACATTTATTTATTTTTAATTTATACAAATTTTAATATGAACACATTTTCTCCATAAGTTAAAAAAGTTTATTTAATATTTATTATCATAGCCATAAAAACAAATATTTATGATGTATGCTTTTAAAAAATAGGTGCCTTTTAATTTAAGGCAGTTGAGGTTTTATTAAAATTGTCAATTTTTATTTGATGTTTTAAATAAAAATTAAAGTAACACATTTTCTTTTAGTTTAGTGCTTTTAATCTTTACCGTAAAGCACTATTATTATTTACTATTTACAATATCAACAGACTATATGCAGTTAAAAAAGATGTCTGTTTGCATTAGCCAGACCTTAATAAGAATCACAGTAAAGATCTTTTTAAAAAAACAACTACCATGCCATCTCAGAGATTCAGTGACACATGGAAATCGAGTTTTTGTAACATCACCTTTTATTTGTATCCATATGTAAGTTGTGTGTTCTTTGACTGAATGCCTAGATCTATAAGCTCCTGAAAGAGAAAGCTTACATGTCTTCTAGCTCATGGTGATCACAATGTCAGCCATGACTGGAAGACATTGATTGGATACCAGCTCTAATTATCAACTGTAAATGTTTCTGCAAGGCCTGATTTGTTTTATTGCACAACTTACACAGGAAGAGGTAGAGTACTGATTGCTGGGGTAGAGAAATAAAAAGTGGCTCTTTGCAGCCAATTTTGATATGGCCTATTTATTATCCATATCTGTTAACTTAAAAAATATATTGAAAGTTTAAAATATTGGGTAAATATTGCTTTAAAACCTGCACTAAATTTTAAGAACTGTTTTCTGATATTGCATAATATATTGTGTGTATAAATAATTTATCACTGGTGCCAATATATTCTAAATTTTGTACTGCATTAATAACTTTAATAACTGTCACAATATGACACAACTTTTTGATTGTTTGTGATCACCGTTATATGAGCGTTTAGAGGGAGTCCGTTTTGTTTTTCTATCTTTGGTGTTAATTGTTGTTGCCATTTTATTTTTCTTGGCATTTTTTTCAACTGCAGAGTCTTGAACAGTCTCTTTGGCAGAAATCGAGGAAAAGTTGATATTTCCATTAAGTTCAGACAGCTTAGCACTCGGCAATGACCGAAAAAGTGCCTCCTCAGCTAGTTCACTCATGGGATCTCCCCCATTTTTCATGATGAGTTTTTCTCTCTCCATCAACTCCATGGCCTCCCTCACAAGGATGGAAACATCCTCGTGTGTTATAGGATGTTGTTTGATGATTGTTGCTGAGAATTCTAAGGTCACTTGGTTTACTGTTGAAGTAAAATATTTACTACAAATAATTTTTTATAAGTATAAGATTTTGTTTAAAGAATTTTGCTGAAAGTTTTTTTTTTAAATTTGACTATTAATTGAACAGTGTTTTAAACCTAAATGATCGATATCTTTTCAAACCACTTGGCCAACACAAACAAGATTTGCTTACATTCTGGCGGTAGAACAACAAGGGGGTAAAATCCACCAGGTGGTTGAAAGACAACTCTAACAAGCAGAATTTTTCTGTTGACTGTAAGGTAGCATATAACTAGCTGCTCCTCATCATGGTGAAGAGATTCATCAACATATAGCAACCCCCAGCCGACTAGGTCCCCAACTTTGACTATTGAGCTTGCTGTAAATCATTACATTTATTTTAAACATTGTTCTTATGTAACAGATAGTGATTAAGAGTTCTATATTAAATGTGTAGCTATTATTATTAAAATGGTTGATATTACATTATGTTCATTATAACTAGGTACCTTTATAAAAGGTACCCAATTAGGGCAGAGTCAATCAAAAACACTTACTTAATGTTGTGAATATATTAATATACTGAGGTCTAACAACACATAGATTGGTTTATATCAATAGAAAGGCCTGACCTCAATTAAAATTACTTTTTTAAAACCTAAGTTGAAAAGCCAACAATAACGTACCCTCATTGACTGCCCAAAATCTGAGGAAGTCGAGTTTAAGGCACGAGTTTGGTGGTGGATCCAGAGGAGTGGCTGTAGAGAGAACTACAGCTGGTGGAGGCTTGTTGGGTCCAAAGTCCTCTGTCAGTACTACTTCAAAGTGGTTGTATCCTAAGTTTTCAATTGGAAAATAAAATAGTGGAAGTAAGGTTGTCTATTTATGTGGTTCCCATTTAAAAAGTACTAAATTTTAAGAGGAAATGATGCGTAAGAAATTTACCTTTGTGTAAACTGTACGGTGCTTGAATTGATACAGGTGTGCTATGATCCTTCACATAAACTGTATTTGTTTTGTTATCTACCTGAGAACCTGGAGGGAGACACCAGTGGTCAATATTCACCTAGGGGAAAAGAGATTGACAAAGTTGAGTATTCTTGATCAATAATATGCATCCTGTGAATACATTGCTTTTTATAACCTATTACTTTGATCACAAAGTGTGTGGTTACAAAATTGTTTTCAAATTTAATAACTCAACTTTAACCCTATTCTAGTGCAGCAAATAAATTAGCTTTCAGTACAATTAAAAGTATATTATTATAAAGGTTTTTATTTTTATTTTATTCAATATATTGACTTAAGTTTTTACCACACTAAAAATGGGTGGTCCCCTCATCATATTTTGCCAGAATATTTTCACAGTCACGTCTTGTCTGTTAGCACAGAGGGCAATGGTGGGAAGAAATTCTGAACGTTCTGGCTGGGTGTAGTAAGCTGTTCCTACTGGTTTGAGATTTTTTGTAAACAAAGCCACTGACATATCTTTGGCAAAAGCTTCCATCTCAAGTCCAACCATGTCACCTTAAAAAGGACAAAAACACATTACAGGTGAGAATAAAGAAAAGTTGATTTTTAAGTCATTAAGTTTAAGCATGAGTAATGGGGTTAATTGAAGCTATACTGATTCAATCATCATTATCAATTTTTTTTCTTAAATTAAACTCTTTAAAGATGTCTTAATAATATATTTATTAAAATAATGTACTAATAGTGTACATTATACCTGTACTTATAGCGTAACACTGTGAGACAGCAGCCTACCTTCCTTGTATCTTGCTCCCACCAGATTTCCATCACTCCTAGAATTGTGGTAAATTTTACCATCTTTTGAGGACCACCCAACTGAAGGTCTTAATTTTCCAGGAAACTTATCAAGAGGGAAATCATGGCCTGCAACTCCTATACATATGCTAGAATCTTCCTCTGAAAGAAGTTTTAATTTTTAGTCATCCTACATTCTGAAGTTAACTAATAGAATAATCAATCTTAGCTTAGTAGCTCAATGAATTAAATAAACTTTAAACTGACTGAGCACTAAAAACCCTGTCTTAAGAAATATTCTATACCTAAAGCTTACCTAAGGTACTAATCTGAATTAAATAAAAATTGCTTTCTTCAGAAAGTGGCTTCAAAAATTGAATCACATGCACCCCTGGTACAGTTTTAGGCAAATGAACTTTGCAAAAATCATCTGTGATAGTAACCTCCAGGTCAGGGGACTTCCTTAACATCGATTCTTTTACATCTGGTTTTATAAAAGATTTTGTTGTTAACATAAACAAATCATTGGTTTTAAGTGGCTGGGATAGTAGGTTGTCTTTAACACTTCTGTTAGCAGAGGTTTTCAGGTTGTTAAAAATGTGCTTCAGCATTTTTATATCTGATAAGTTTTGACATTTTCTAATGTTAAATAACTGTCTTCCTATTATAGATAGCTGTAAAAGTAGACAACATTATCTTAACTAAGTAAGCTAATCCTATATTAATTAATAGTAATAATAGCTTATAAGGCTATAAGGTAAAAAAGTTTTAAAATTGGATCATGATTTTAAAGGAAAAATTCATCAAAATATTAAGTAGGCTTGATCATTAGAAGAATATTTGTATTAATTTGAAATAACTTTGTTTTTAAATGTTTCTGTGCTATTGTTTACTTCAATCAACAATTATTTAGATTAATTAAGACTAATACTCACCCCTATTTCTTTTATCATCTAATAAAATTGTATTTGCTTTACTAGCTTCTTTTCTAAATCTCTCATCAAGTTTTTGTATCAGTTTTGTTGGTTTAGCATTCGTTTCTATATCAATTGTTATTTTTGTGGCTGAAATAACATACATAATGTAATCATTTTTTATGTAGTCTTATTTTAGCACTCTCTTACAAATAAATAGATGCAGGCCTATATAGTAATAATCAAAAGCTTGCAATTGGAGAAATAATATTTTGTACATTTTTTGTGGATTTGTTGAAACTGAATGTCTTAATTCTTAGCATTGCTGTTGTCTCTTGGTGGTTATTAATAAATAATATGACAGTATTTTACATGGATAAATATTTAATTGCTTGCTTTAAGTGAAATATCTTATAACTGCTGCTAATTTCTTATACAGATAAAAATACAAGCAATGTAATAGACTTACCACCATCACTTAGCAATACCACAGGATAGAAGCCTCCTTCTGGCTGTAGCATCATCCTGCCTGAGGTAATTTCCATATCTGCTGTGACAAAACAGTAAACAAGCTGCTCTGCTTTAGGGTTGAAGTCACTTCGTAGTCGGGTTTCTGGATTGTAATGAACTCCCCAACCAATTCTGTGACCAACCATCTGTCGATGCACTTTTTGAAAGATGTTAAGTTAAAGATGTTTTATTTAAATTAGTAATAGACCTATACCATAATAAATAAATTGTGTTTTTGTTTATTTCATTTCCTTATTGTTAGATTTAGTTGTCTATGTGTGTTGCCAGTGTTTGTTTTAGAATGAATCTATAATGAAAAACAAAATTTCACCATCATCTAAGTCAAATCTGATGTAATCCATAGACAAAACAGAAGAAGGGGAGGGCACCACAGGACTACATGTTGCTAAAGATATTGAAGGACCAGTTGAGCCTTCTTCAGCCTCTTGAATAATAACTTCATAATGTTGAGTTTCTGATAAATTAAAAATGTTCTAGTTAAACATGTGTATTAAAACATGATGATTGATTTTCATTAAATCAATTTTTTTTAAAAATGACACTTATTTTATAAGAATGAATCTGAATAGCATTTGGTTGTTGAATATTTTTAAATTTAGTTGAGTAAAAAAGCTTTTAAAATAAATCATTTATTTATAGAAGAGTAATAATACCTTGAGTCAATGGATGTGGACTCTGTATAGTAATTTCACCATTGATTGATGTGGCTCCAGTGTAGACAAACATATTTGATAAAGCATCATAAACTACTGAAGTTTGATGAATCCAATGCATCATATTTTTCTATGTATGTAAAAAAAATATATAGATCTATATATATATATAAATGTATCTATATATATATATATATATATATATATATATATATATATATATATATATATATATATATATATATATATATATATATATATATATATATATATATATATATACATATATATATATATGTAAAGATAAATATATTTAAAAAAAAAATTATTGTGAGTTTTGTGACTTACATCGCTATAACTTGGTATATTTAATATTGCTTCAGGCAACATTAGTCCCAGTTCAATGGGACCATTTTCTAGTGATACAGTTGGTAGGTATTTCTTATGATCTGGCTCAAAAAGGAACCTATTCAGGTTTTAGAAAATATTGTAGTTGTCTTTAAAAAAATAAAATAAAATATTTAGTAGCTTATATTTTTAAAATGAAAATATCTTTTGTGAATAGTTACCGTGTGGTTACTGGGTATCCATTTTTTAAAAAGATTACTGTTGATTTTTTTTCTCCAAAATAAGAAACTAAGACCCCAAACACATCTCCTTCAAAATATAAAAAATAAGCTATTTAATAATACGGTTACTAATTAAATATGATCCTAAATCATACTAAACTAATGCATAAGAAGATCACCTTTATCAAACTTTTCTCCCTCTGTGTTAGCTACACATTGATGTGATGTATAGCATTGTCCTGTGTCACTTTGGTAGCCCACTGAATTTAACCACCTACCAGGTTGAGCGTCTGGTGATATATTTGGACCAGCAATGCCTAATGTGATTTTGCTGGACGGTGCTGAAATGTATACCTTAATGATTAAGTTTAACTTTTTTGGAAAAACTTTTATCAAAATATATAATGAAAAGGTATGTTCATATGTTTGTAAATCGAAACCTGTTAGAAATATCTATCATTAAGTTAGTAAAATAAATAATTCTACAGCTCTATTTTGTGGTAATTTCTCATGATAATATTTATAAAATACATTCAAATAATTTTAATGAAGTATTAAAAATATATTAATTACTATAAAATTTGTGCAATCAGAATCTTATTCGTTAGCACATGCCACTTTGAAACTAAGATTGACTCACCATTGATGATGGCATAGCAAACAAAAACCAAAAATTGTTACTTTAGTAAACTTACCTAAGGTTTTTATTTGAGCATAAAAGTAAGGTTTTTCTGGTGTGAGTGGTTGCTCATACTGAAGAAAATTGCAAGTCTCTGAATATTGCTTGAGTTTGACATCACAGATTCCGTCATTTACAACATCAAATATTATGTCACCCGTACAACGAAATCTTGTCATTGTTATGTGTTTTGTCTTTGCAGTTAAATCTGTATAATATTTTTTTTTAGAAACTATCAACATTTAAACATACAAAGATACATCTATATTATGTGAAATTGCAATAAAAATAAATCACTTTGTTGGACAATTGTTAATAGGACAGATGGATTTAAACTTTGTGGCATTAAAATGGATTGTGCATCTTGCTCAGGCTCTATGTTTCACAAATACAAAAACCCATTTTCTCAGGATAGATTTAAAGAAGTTAGCTACTCTTGAGGCCAGGTATAAAACTTCAAACTGCTCAAACAGTCCATGAAATATGCAGTAATTTGAATTGATATAACATTAGTAATAAAAAATAATAGGCCCCTAATATAAAAATAATTGGCCCCTATATATATATATATATATATATATATATATATATATATATATATATATATATATATATATATATATATATATATATATATATATATATATATATAATTTAAATATATTTAATAATACATGCTCTGGAAGAATTCTATCAAATTTATATATAGATCTATATACATATAGGCCTATAGTAAATAGTAAATAATTGATAATATTATAAATTTCAAATGTTTACATGTGATTTTTATTTAAGTAAAATAATTAAGCCAAGCTGACAAACTGATTCTGAAAAAAAAATATTCATTTTTTGTCTATCAATCTCACATGTGACGTACACATGGCCTAATAAAAAAGATCATCATTCATGAAAATCTAGATCTAGTGATTTAGTTTAGCAGGATTAGATAAATTATTAATTAACTTTAATATATTTAAAAAAAAAAATGTGTGTGTACAGAACAGATTCAATATAGATCTATTTTGTATTTAAATTTCATAAGCCCACGACGTTCTATAATCTATTCACATCAGACACACGGACACTAACAAAAAAAAAACATCATTAATATATTTATAACAATGCAATCTCATGCACCACAGGTACACACAACCAACAACTACCTGCAGCAACAGGCTCAGAGTTTACAAAGAAACAATGGAGTTGAACCGCGAAATCTACAATGCAGCATTTTAATATTCCGAATATGTCAGCAGAAGAATCGTGTAAACGAAAAAACGCTCGATAACCATACAACCGACGAATAAAGATAGATCTAGATCATAAGCTAAAATTAGAACGCAGTAGAGCAATCATAATGTTTAGGGTAGCTAACCACGCTTTCGTTGCTAACAACAGAGAGTTATCTGTAACACCCGGAAGATAGCTTAAAGGGAAATAACAAAAGAATTAAAACATAAGCTTATGTACAAGATTATAGATTAGATCTAGAATCTAGGCCAAAATTTAAAATATTAAACAAAGTTCAAGGTCCTATTAGTATATTTGCTTACATATTGTAACAATATGCTTTTAACCCAATTCAGAAATATAATATGACGTATTTTTAAATGGGTGAACAGATACTAGATCTATATAGCATTTCTACAAACTTTTAAAATAAAATGGTACTGATTAGTGCCTATTAGATCTATTTGTGAGTGCCAAATATTCGCAGCTTTTTACTTTCTCGTTAACAGAGTACCTTATAGATGGAGTATTGTAATCGTTCTGAATAATTAACGGATATTTTCAGTTTTCGCTGTGTTACACCTCCCTACTACTATACCATATACGGAATATAAAGGATGTATCGTGATCGTGCGAAGAGTCTTAGATTTTGACAAACTTTGATGTTCTCACATCCTTCCGGAGCCAGAAAAACTTACTTTTGCAATCCTGTCCGTCTCGGGCAGTGTGTGTATGTAAACATGACAGCCCGAGCTAGCCGAGTACCATTTCGGTTTGGTGGATGTAGTTTTAAATATACAAAGTATGCGATGGTTTTTTCAACTTTTGAATGATTTCCGGCATTGGTACTTTACTCTCTTTCCGTCGGAACACTATAACTTGATTGATGTAAGTACTGTTTCAGTTAGGTAGACAAAATTTCACAGTTTTTATATTTTGATTACTCACAAATTTTGAATGACCTCCAATATATGGAAGGGGTACTTTATTTCTGATTTCTAAAAACCGATAACATAAGTACCGTTTCATTTAGGTGGATGACATTTTATACAAAGCCTAGATATACGATTTTATTCTATAGATTCTCTTTTATTTTCAAGGATTTACATTGACCGGAAAAAAAGTACTTTACGCTAATTCCGATTTCTCAACACAAAAATATCCGTTCTACCGGACCGATTTGTTTCAAACTTTTCACGTAGGTCAAGACTCGACGATAATGCACTAAGACAAAAATGTGACTTGGTTTATTTAAAAAAAATTAATGTTGCCTTTAAAAAATCCTAAATTTCCGTTCTAAATGCACACACTTTTTGCGGTCGCTTGGTGCGCAATTATGTTTTTTTTTCTCTCCAAATCTTGTCCAGATAAGCCCAGCTACTAATGCAAAAAGTGCATGTACGAAAAGTTAAGCGCCGCCACTTGTGACCTATTTCTGATGTCCAGGCATTTGAATATTTAAACGGACGCCGAAAAACAACTTTTCCGCCTTTATAAGCTAAGAGTTGTGGTTATGTTAAGGGTTAAAGGTACCAAAACACAGACGTTTTCATGCAAATTAATTATGACATGTCCTGATTTCAACGTTTGATATCCTGTTTTTTATAGTCTTTTTTTTTTAGGTGGCTGGGGTTAACGAGATCCTTACTCTGATTGGTTACCGCATCAGCTGCAGGAACAGTTCGTTTGCTACTTTGTGCAGGAACAACTAAATATCCCTTAGACCTAACACGGAAGTAAAACATAACAGCTCTAAGGGTCTCACTATATAACTAGGAAGCTAGATTTATTATAAAACAGGATGTTATTTATAACTTGCATACCATAAATTTCTTGCTTTCAAGTCCAGACTGGGTTCCAGATTTGAGATCAAGCCCCGAGTATATTTTGACTGTCTTTACTATTTGATGCAATGTTTGTATCAACAAAACACGCCCACCATAAGAAGGGAAAAATACAGATTTTTGAATTACATAAACATTTATTTTTAATCAAATGAATGCATTAGACTATGATTACTTTATGATTATTCACAAGTTACTATTGTACAATATAAAAATATTTTAAATTTAATTATGTAGTTTAAAAAATCCCGGACCAAGCAAGTATAATATTTACAAATTAAAAAAAATTTGCAAGCACATTTACATAGAATTAGTTTCAGTACTTAACAAAATATACATTATGACAGGCTTGAATAATTAACATGTGAACCTAATTAGATGTGAATGATGCAAAAGTTCTATAAAAGATCAATAACTTTGAATTCCAAGGACAATTTATTTCCTGGCATATGATATACACTACATAACACTAAAATATATTCACATTATGTAATGGTTTAGAAAACTAAAAAATATGTTAAATTTTCTGTCGACTAGACAACATAAAAATAGCAAATTAATTATGTTTTATTTTCTGAATAAAACTAACAAAACAAATTTTCTCCCTGTAGGTGAATACAAATCTCTAATCCAAAATCAGTTTTAATAAAATATTTCAGCAAACCAAATTTTAAAATGTGTACATCTGCTTTGGGAATAACTTAAATCATGGAAATTGTGAACACTGATTGACTGCCATATAACTGTCTGGCTTTGGTAGTTGAGCATCCAAAGAGTTGCACAGTTAATGATTCATGATGTCATCAAGAGATAATGATTTTTTATGATCACGAGCTCATGTAAATGAAAAGATTTATAAAGTAAATAATGCACATAAATGCATTTTTATAGTCTAAGTTACCCAGAAAAAAGTGCACTTTTTTTCCAACATGCAAGCAGGAAAGCCCAAAAAAAAAAGGTCCAATCTGTAGTTTAATCAATGGTAACCTGTTGTACAGCTTGGCTTCCCATTGTGGAAACAAAAGTTACAGAAAGCCAAGATGTGTTGTACCTCCTCCACCCAAACATCTACTGCTTCCACTTTATCAAGCTATACTAATACAGAGATATCTTATTATTATGTCAGGTGGTGGTGAGGTGAAAAGGAAATTCCCAATAGGAAAAAAAACAACAGGAGATATTTAATGGATTAACTACAGATTACACCTCTAAAAATAATGATGGTGCCAGCATCAGTTTATATGTAAATTAAGTCTAAAGTTATTATTTCAATGAATGCCGAAATGTTACACACATACAGGCCTACATATAACGAAAAGTAAAAAAAAATTTTTTTTACCACACACTGATAATTCTTTTCAGAATGGTTGCATTGAGTAAATGGTATATCAAATGTGCACATTTTGTGCATTGATTTCTCATGGGTATCATTTTCCAAGGTGAGTTAACTGTTTACACCTTAAAAACAGTCGATTTATAACATTAGTGATGTGCACTTTTTTCTGGGACATGACTTGAAATGAAATTATGTACAGACAATTCTAAAGTGGATGTTAGAAATTTCTAATGATTCATAACATTTTAGCATTTTTTTATGCTTTAAAACCAGTGTTTTATTAGATTCAGCTTGAACACAAATTTGGTACATAATTTCATGTTATACATAGTTGATAGTGATGGGATTTAAAAGCAGATTAACATTTGAAAGGAATAAAAAAAATGTGGTGTGAAAGTAATGGGAAACAATAATTATTTAACGTCAGTGAAATAATCATTAGCTCAGAATATGAAATAATCATTAGCTCAGGAAATGAACGCAGCATCAATCTAAGCAAGAGGTAAATAAGAAAAAACAAAAGTAACAATAAAACAGGAAGCACAAGTATTACTCAGCATGACAATAAAATTAGAAACAATAATGCAATGAGATAAGCCTGAGTGATGATCATATAACTAATGGCTGGAAAAACTGCTGCCTAGTCATAACTACTTTTATACATATTGCACACAGCATTTTGCCATTAAGAAAGGTATTCTCCATAACTAGATATTGATCTTGAGGCTATAAATAGTATAACATATTCTCATTCTGTGAAAAGTTATACAGAAAACTATCATTTTTTAAACTTACTGGATTTAAATCCTTATAAAATAGAGAAAAAGTAATTACATTACAGAATGTAAACAAAAAACTTAAGAATATCCTTGCCTATTACATAAATCACATATTTTGTTTTCTTTTTCAAACAGTTACCAACAATTTATATCAATTCTGTTTAAAACACAGTCATGTTTTATTGAATACTAATCTTTGGTAAAAATGCTGAATTTTAACAAAAAAAAAAAAAAAGAAGAGATTAATGTTTTGTAATTATTATTTGTGCACACCATTTTATTGGTGATCTTATGTTGTAGCTGGCATAAGATGGGTTTCTATGGATTGGACCCAAAACTGTCAGGGTTGATCAGTAGGCCTAATCACTCTCAAGCCTGACCAGTGATGTAGGGGTGATCACTCTCCTCTGACCAGCAATGTAGGGGTGATCAATCTCCTCTGGTTAACGATGTAGGGGTGATCACTCTCCTCTGGCCAGTGATGTAGGGGTGATCACTTACATGGTTAGTCTATTTGTGAAAAGAACCCTCACCCAACACAAAAACATATTGTGAAAGTTACTATTTCATTAGACAGGTAGCAGAGAACTGCTGCCAGAGTAAAATAAAACAATGGTCGTGTAGCTCATGGCAAGTACACATTGTTTGAATACAAGAATGACTGTAGGTGGCTTACACCTAGTGGTAAATTCACTGAAGGTCAATGTAATGGTACACAAAAACATTGCATACATGGATAAATTAGAGATCAACACAATGCAGTAGTTTGATTTTTCAATAAATAAATTAAATTGAGAAATTCAAGCAATGAGCTGGTGGAAAGGACCTCTACTTTAAAATTAGGTCCTTAGTTACAATGTATCATTACTGGAAAATAATCATAAAAATTACAGCCAATGTTTTTAAAATAATCTGTAAAAACTTATGTAACAAAACAGACAGGTAAAATAGCAAAAACAATTGTTACCATAACAACCTGTGGAACAACTCAATAATGGAATAGAATGTATCATCAGTACAAGATTTTGTTAATCAATACATCTTACAGCAGATGCTACAATCAAGATTTAAAATACATTCATTCTAGCTGTATATACATATTTAATAGTCCTGTAGCTGAGTATCTTTCAGCAAACACATCCAACTGTAGCCAAATCTTCAGCAGACGCTTCAATGTAGCAGACTTTAGCCAAGTCTTCAGCAAACTGTAGCCAATGTAGTCGACTGTAGCCAAATCTTTCAGCAGATGCATCTAACAGTAGCCAAGTCTTCAGCAAACTGTAGCCAATGTAGTCGACTGTAGCCAAATCTTTCAGCAAACACATCCAACTGTAGCCAAATCTTCAGCAGACTGTAGCCAAGTCTTCAGAAGACTGTAGCCAAATCTTTCAGCAGATGCATCCAACAGTAGCCAAGTCTTCAGAAGACTGTAGCTGAGCACCTTTCAGCAGATGCATCCAACCGCAGGCAAGTCTTCAGCATATTGTAGCCAAGTCTTCAGCAGAATGAATGAGAGTCTTCAGTAGATTGTACCTGACTGTCTGCATCAGAGGGTAGTTGGCTGTCTGCATTAGTCTGTAGCTGAGAATCTTTATTCACTTTAATCATATCTTTGACTAGATTTTCAATGTTAGAAACTTCTCCAATATCTACATCAGAAACTATGTAACCTAGCAACTGATGCACGTTTCTCTGGAATTGGAGCTGTTGTTCCTGCATGATCTCAATAATTTTATTTTTCTCTGACAGTTTCATGTGAAGATCAGACTCCTCCACTGGACCCTCAACTTTAATGTCAGCAACATCTGTTTGTACCTCGGCTTCAGCCAACACTTTGCCCAGTGATGGAAGGTCTGCCAATTTTTTATCTTGACTTCCAGGCTCAGAAGAGTATTTCTGCTTTAGGTCATCCTGACACGGTGAATGACACGCCTCCTCAATATGAGAAACGTGATCACTCTCAGTTTGTGTGTACACGTTCGTGGTCAGTTTGTGTACACCTAATTGACTGAGTGCCAGGTCTGATTGTAAAAAATACACATCAATGTCAGTCTGGACATTCTTGTTTCTAATGTTACAAACAGCTAATCCACCCACTGAGCTTCCATTGTCTAAGCTTCTGTAGCTGTCTTCTTCAATTTCCTCCTTGCTCACAATCTCCATCTTCTCCTCAACAATAACTTTGTTGTTTTTGTGATTGATGTCTGCGGCTGCTGAGTGTTCACTGTGGGAGGGAGATGCAGGGGAGGGGAATGCAGGAGAGGCGGGGCAGAGAGAGGCTGGAGGGCTGCATGGACTGGCTGTCCTATCCTGTGCAGCAGCAGAATTACTGCAAGAGTCACTGTCATATTCTAAGCATGCAACTTCATTGTCTGTTGTCAAAACATTGTCAGCATTTGAAGTGTCCACTGCATTCAAGTTGTTGAATGTCAACATGCTGGCCATTACATTGGAGTCATCTTCTGAAGGATTTTCCGATTCCTCTAAGCAGCTCTGGCTTGAACCATCATTAACATCACCATTTACATTCTTATTGTCCTCAACTGGTTCACAATTTTCAGAATCCACATCCAAAAAACCCACATCAGTGTTGGCAGTTACAGTAGCAGGCTTCTCGGCTGAACCGCTGTCAGAGGTATTTACACTACTCACTCGGCCATTCTCCTCACTTAACATTTCAACATCATCATCATCATTTCCATTCATCCCAAAATCAATTTCACCAATGTCAAAATCATTTTCAGGAACTCTAAGATCTTGTCCACCCGCACTGACATTATTTTCCCCCTCCTCAGGATTATTTTCACTGTCTCCATCTTGGCTAGCAATCAACCCAACTGCTGCTTGCAACTGCTCAGTGCTAACCTGAGTCAAACTTTGACTGGCAGTGAGATCTGAAGCCTTATCTGTGCTGCTGTAGTCATCACCGTTTACCTGCCTGTCCCCCACGGGATGTTCCTCCCCAGGTTCTGGCTTATCTCCCCTGTCATCTCCATCTGAGGTACTCCTGTAGTATCTGTCTGCCTTATCTCCCTTCTCATCTACACCAGTGCTGCCTCTGTAATCACTGTCATCTTCACAAGCATCATCACTACCACCAAATACAATATTGTCATCATCTTCTTCATTGGCCAGGGAGTCTTCTTCCACAGAATTATTATTTCCTAAAGTGTTATCATTTTCAAACTTTGATATTCCAACATCTTCTGGATTCTCAAAAATGCCAGAAATACTCTCTAGAGAACTATCAGAACCGTTTGACTTACGATGACTTGGATTATCAGATTGTTCAGGAACTTCTGGTTTAGGATTTTGGCCGGAAATTCCAGCTGCTGATTTCTCTTTTTCAAGACAATCTTTGATTGCTGCCATAGCTGCCTCTATGTTGTCATTCAAACTATCTGGGATGTCAAGAACAAAGTCCTCGTCAGCAGCCCCTGATTGATCTCCATTCACAGACGGCTGAGGTTTATCGCTGTTGGAGCTGCTCGGCTGAAGTGTTTCCGTTATTTCCTGTTTCGTTTCAGCTAAAAGATTTTCGTTTGGAGGTTTTTTCTTTGCTACATCATCTGCTGAAAAATAAGTTTAAAAATGACCTTTAGTTAGCTAATTTTATAATAACAGTTTCTAGTAGTTACTGCTATAAAAATACTACATTTTATACATAGTAATTTTTAACACAAATAAAAAAATTAAGTTTAAGTAAATCTTGTATTAAAAATTCTCTAACTCTAATTTACTTATAAAAATTGAAGCCCCTAAGACTTAAAAAATGGTTACATATTGTTGCATATCAGATACAGGATGAGATTCATGATGAGTAGGCCCTACTAGATTTGAATGAATCCAAGGATATTTTAATTAAGATACATTACTTAATCAAATGACCTAAAATCTATTGATGTTAAACACCACACCTTTATTGGCCATTGCAGCATCCAATGCCTCTTTGTCAGGCTTGATATCTTCTAAGTTTTTCCTCAAGCTCTCCTGCAGGGTAACTCGCAGAACATCCAGGTCAGGCTTGATGTCCACCAGCTCCCCAAACTCTCTCTCCCCCGTCAAGTCAATCACAGCCACAACATTCTCTACTTTGTTGCGCTTTCTGGACTTGCTGGGTGCTGACCCATCAGGGACCTTCTTAACTGTACCATTAACTGCTGATGTTGATTTACTGTTTTGGATAAAACTAGTGGAGATTTTTAAAACCTCCTTAGTTTTGGGGACTAGAGGGGATTCACTGTACTGGTCATCATCGTCGTCATCAACATCATTCTGCGTGATGGACAAGACTTCTCCTGATTCTGTCTTGATCTTCATTTGCTGTCTTGTGGTTCTGGTGTTGGCTACAGGTGTGGAGGCCTGAGGTTTTGGCTTGTTGGCAGAACTGAAGAAGTTGGTACAAATACAATGATTATATGGACACAACAGTAACCTGGACAATGTTAAGGCAGAACATCTTATGATAATCAAATTTTAAAAAGTAACATTATGATATGGATAATCACATTTTAAAAAGCAACATTATGATATGCATTTAATTGGTTTGTTAAAATGCTAAATAAACATATGATTCAATAAAGGATGAATTGATTTATAATATTTACTTACACTGCTGGGGTTGATGAAAGGAAGGGTCCACTGAGTGCAGGAACACCCTAAAAAATTCAATATGTGATTTAACAATAGAGGCTGAGCTTTCAATACAAGTTAGGAAAGAAAAAAAGTTTTTATCTAGTTACCTCTGCTTTGTTCTCTTTAATTACTTTTAAACTTTCTGCCATTTTTTTGTTTTGTTCCTGTATTTGTTGAATTAATCGTTTTTGCTGCTCTTCTCTCTGCCTTGATGCTGCCAATTCTTTTTGTAATGAGGTCAACGTAATGTTGTCCTACAACAGAAATATGCAAGTGAAGCTCAAAATATTTCAGATAGCTGACCATTAGCATCTGACTAGAGTTATTATAGACAACAAACATATTATAACTTATGAACAGTAAATGAAAGAGGGAGATGGCATATTTACTTACTGAAAGGTTAAAATTGCTTTATGGATATTAATTTACAGATTCAGATTTTACCAAAATTTTTGTTGTGGTTTCATTTCCAAACATATGCATGCTATATTCTTAAATCATTTTTAACAACAAAATCACATTATATTTTCACATTTATTTAATATTTTAAATTAGAAAACTTATTTCAACTGAACTCTTGAATTACTTTTACAAAACAAAGGAAACAATAAAATATTCTAAAATATTTAATATAAAACCATCCTTAAGGTTTTGAGAATTATAAATGTTTTTACAAGTTTCATTGACCAGCACAAAAAAAAATCTCAACATTTTTTTCATGTTTAGTGTTTGTAAGTTTTAAGACTTAAAAATGTAAATAACTTGCATATAAAATTTGTAAAATAAAAAAATCATTGTAAAGCAGCATTATGCTGATACTCACTGAGCGTGCTGTGACATGATGAATAGCTCTTAATTGTGCCTCCTTTTCTTTAAGTTCTCTTTCTTTTTCCATTATCCTTCTCCTCTGAAAAAAAATATAATCATAAATAAGTAATATTAAATTGTATTCACCTAAAACCAATTAGTATTTCCTGTAATTCTAAAGAGTGGTATAATACTAGAATTAAATTTTGATCAGAGATCCTGACTAGAGTAAATAAAGAGGAAGGGAAATTAATAAAAACTTTTTTAAAGCTCATCTTTTTGTTTTGGAATGCCAGATGGACGTAAAAATGTATGACACAAAATTAACAGACATTTGGTATTTGAACTTCATGTTTCTATCTTCTTAAAATATAAAAATTTGGCCATTCAGTATTCATTATAATAATAAGGGCTGTAGTTTGCTTTTGTTATTGACAATCTTTTGAAATTAATAAAATTCTTAACTATTTAACTTAAATGGTTGGATCAACAAAAGCATGCGTTATTTACATTTTTTGTCTCGGGAGACAAAAATCATTTTCTTCTAGCAACTCCCCCCCCCCCCCCCATCCCCCTTATTATCTATATCCTACTCTAACATATCTCAATGATTATTAATTTAGATTGAAACCTTTATCTCATCTTCTTTCTCCAACTCTATCATGCGCTGTCTTTTCCTTTCTTCCCTGAAATTAAAATCACAACATTAATATACAAAATATTGTTGTTAAATGCACACAGCAATTAAAAAAAAATTAAACTCCACTCAGAAACAAATGTTATAAAATATTGATTTTAAGTATTCATTTTGACGCACTAACTTTTGGAAATAATTGCTAATAATTTTTAATTACAAAAAAAAAAGTCCGAACTCACTTTATTCTTTTTTGAGTTTTTTCATAGGTTGGTCTCACAGCCAAGTCTTCATCTTCTGGTTCCTCTGGGATGTCACATCGACTGTGCAATACAAGCAGACATTTTTAGTAAAATATGACGCACAACATTTATTCAGAAATAAAGTGAGGCCATTTACTGAACTTAATTTTAAATAAAATGCACATAGCCATTATTTTTTAAATACATTAAAAGAAAGTTACTGTAAGTTTGTAATTAAAAACCATGTCATTTTTAAAACTAAGTTAAATTTAAAAATTGAAGGAAAATAATAATATAATTTCTCCAAAACAATATAACCATGTATTTGTCAAGCCTCAATAAAACATCACTTCAAAAGACAAAATGAAATTACTTGTGGGTGGCATCAGCATTCATACGACAATACCACTGTTCAGGTAAAGAATTGCCATCAATACCATCAGGCAAGCGACGCCATTTCAGACATTGATCACACTGTGCCCATAACCAATCGGGAAGATTCCTAGAAAGAACATAGAAAAGTGGGACTGGTACAGTTTTAAAATTATGATGTATCAAATAACAGCAAAATAAGAATACTAATCAAATTAACAAGTTAGTCACAAACTGTAAAAAGCTTCAAATATGAATATTAATGTGGCTACAGTTTTAAGTTATATTTCTGAAACTGGCAGTCAGTCCAAACTTACCGCTGATGAGCTTGCTGTTGTGGTGAAGCAAGCTGAGGCCTTTTCTCATTCCAATATTCATTCAGTTTAGTAGCAAAAGCTGACATTACAGAGCTGAAGAGTAAGTATAGTTTGAGATACAAATCTTTTAAATAAATTAAATCATGGCTTTGATTACTTTGATCAACACCAATTTAAAAGGCACTGTCAAATGTAAGGTAAAGGCAGTTTTTAATTCAGGAAAAATCTAAAGCCATACTTAAATTTTTCATCCTTGTTAAAGTCCTGCTTGTTGTGAATAGGTTGAAGAAAATCAACTTGGGCTACACCTACCACTCCAATACCAAGCTCATTAGGCTACAAAAGTTAAAAATAAAATACATGATAATGGAGTTTTGATATGTATGCATTTTGGGCACTGATTTTTCTATCAATACTTGTTGAAAAAGTTTATAGAATAGATCAGCAAAGTCCAATGCTCTTCTCTGGGAATTTTTGTTAGATGATTACCAGCATTTTATACAGTCTACTTTACTCTGGACATTAACTGGGAAGTCAAGGGAAGTGTCTGTTTCAAGAATGGAAACTAAATCTTCTATACTTATTTTTATTATTGTGTTGAATTATGTAAGTTAATTATTTTCCAAATGTAAAAAGTTGCACTGATGTAAAAAACAAAACATAACCTGTTTTTGATATCCAACTTTCTCAAATGCCTTAATTAATCTGTTTCTATGATACAGCATCATCCCATAATCCTCAGATTTATCTTTCTCACAGGAGAATCCAAAGATAATTTTTACTGGTCGTGACTGAAAATATTAAAAGCTTTATAAATTGTTTCAAGAAACATGTCACTAAAACTAAAACATTACTTTTGTGACAACATGAACAAGTAAAATGATGAATACCTTTTCAGATGAAACAAAACATAAGCAGATACTCACCAGCCAAGTTGGTTTGTACATATCAATCTCAGTGTTGGATAATGACTTAGATATAAGTTTTGACTTGACTCGTATTCCTCTGATAGTAATTTTCATTCGAGGCCGTAGAAACAAAATGCTACAATATTCCTAAAAATTAAAATATTTTATGTACCTGGTAAGAATTCTTTGAGTTGCTGGTAAATAATTTTAAATGTAAAATTTTTAAACCAAAAACAAATAAAAATAAATGAAATAAATCTGTATCACAAAAAGTTCATCATAAGAAAATACTATTTACATAGTTTTTTTTTTTACTTGATAGAAGTCAAGCAAAATTTTAAAATTTACTTACTCTTAGAGAACGCTTATATTCAGAAGAATTATGCTGAATAGGCCTATGATATACTGAAGTCATGTCTACCTCATGTGCTTCTGGACTTCTTATATCTGTAGGATCACTAGAGAAATCAAGCTCATAGGTCCCATCCTGCAGTCTACAAAAGAAAATTTTAAGAAAAACATCATGTACATTTCTTAATACAAAAGCCTCTATTTAAAAAAAAACTTCAGTTTTAAACACAAGCTGTTGATGACAGCAAAAGATTTGATGACAGCAAAAAATAAAATGCAATACTTACCGTTTCAAATTGTAAATGATAATCTTTGTACCAGTCTTTGAACCCTCTAATGCCCGAAGCTCTGCTTTTAGTTCTTCCTCATGTTTAAATACAGAGTACTGAAGAATTGCATTCAAATTGTTGCGCGATTCCTGACTTTTAATACGTTCCAGTGCAGAAATAAGTTAAGACAGTAACGAAGCATTGAATTAAATTAAGTAAATTAAAAGAGGGCACTACAGCACCAACATGTTGATATAGCTAATTGCTAGTTTTAGAATTTGTCAGTTAACTTATCTTAAGCTTATATTAAAAAGTACAAGAAGACTTTCAAGTGTACAATTATTAACTTAAATTAAATATAAATAAACATATAACAAAACCCAAATAAATTACGTTTTTTTATAATTAAAATAAATATAAAGGTCTTCCTGCTTTATTAATTTAAAAGGATATGTTTAGGAAGCCTATACTCCAAAATCGGAACAACAACACAATCTGTCTGAATAGATTTGAGGAAAGTCTGTGAAAGGAATCCAATGCTGGCACTACGTTGACTCCTTGTAAAAACTAGTGCATCGTTACCAATGCGCATTGAGCCAGATTTAAAACCGTTGCCATAGTGACCTATTGGCTGGTGGGATCCTTGTCTTTCATAAATATCTTTTTCACAAAACCCAAAGCTGTAAAATATTATTTAAAAAAACCTTATATCTTCATTTAATTCTAGACTATGACATTTACATGATAAACATTAAAACCTACTCACAAGAGTAACTTTCAACTATTTTCTTTCAGTTCTTCATTGAACAAAAATAGCATTACCTCAACATTTTAAGAAGGTGATCTCTATCCATACCAGCTCCATTATCCAAAAATATTAGACATGGTGTGTCACGTATATCAACTTGGTCTATGAGAAGCTCTGACGCGCTCACATCCGGGTCATATGCATTATCTATGAAGATATTTAATTTAGATATGTTTAAAAAGTACAAGAAAATTTGTCTTAAGAACTATAAAAAGTGTATTAAGGGCCTGAAAGTGACATACCTATCAACTCAGCAAAAGCACTGAATACCCACGTGTGACTGGTTGAGTTGGCATGTAAGAAGGCAGGACTCACCTAACATAAACAGTAAATTAAGTAAAATATGTTTGGTGGTAAACCAAGGTAGCATGCACATTACATGAGAAAACTATGCCAGTGAATGAACATGTAAATAATTATCTCAGTTCTTCAAAATATCAACAGAATTAACAGAAATGTAGCCTTAAACTAGCCTGTCACTTGACCTACTTTTTTTTACCGTCATCATGGTAATGATGGCTGCCGAAAATGATAATACAGTGATTCAGTTTTTTCACAATGTTTCATGGTCATTTCAGAAATATATACTTAAAATCGTTATTTTTGGGTATTATTCAACAATACCAATCTAGTTTTAACAATGGACGATTAGTGTTTAATGTAAACTTGCGCATTAGTGTTTAATGTAAACTTGCGATTTGTACATTTTTTTGTCTAATCACTGAGAATATTGAGCAGAACATAATAAAAATAAGCAAAACGTGAATCGCTGTACTTAATATTGTTGTGATTTTACTAAAAAATGCTTTAAAATATAGACAATCATAAATTACGTACTACTAAACTAATTTAATTAATTTTAAGAACATCATACAAGGTAAAAACAAAACCTTCAAACAATAACTTGATCGAAATAACAACTAACTAAGCCCGCCGTGTATTTGAATGGGGAGAAATCTAGCAGACGACACATTTCTGCTGAAAAGCAATGAACAGTCAATTGCGTCACAACAACACTCCTTAAAAACTAGCCCACCATATCACTGAGTATCAGTCATATTGTAGCCATTTAAAAACAAACACGTTTCTTCACAAATTATTTTCTAGGCTACTGCCTAAATTTGATAAATAAAATTGGTATCAAATTAAAGGTAGGCCTAAATAAATGTAGTTTTTAATTGTTTAAGCCATCTTGAACAAAAATGAAGTTAATAATCTTATAGGCCTACATTTTATACAACACCCTACTTAAACTCAAAAAGTTATTTTCAAGTTCAGTTCTCTGGATTTGCAACTTTAATAACATTGTTTCTAAAAAAAAATTAAAATTCTTAATTATTTTTAGGCTTTTTTTATTTTCTATTATTTTTACAGTCACTTTGATTGCAAAAATCTAAAAAAAATAGGCCTATGTTTTTTTATCCATGCCAACAAACAATATGATGGAAGTTTTTTTTTTGTAAACTCAGTAATGTCCATTCTTTATATTACTTTTTACAATCAATTGGGCCCTAGAGCACTCTAGGCTAGGGATGAGATAGTGCTAGTGAACTGCTAGTGGTTCGGTTGACAGGTCAGTTGGAGTTAGCAAGCAATTAAATGAATTAATTAATATTAGGTTTTTCGATTCGTGAAATCTCGTTCTCGCGGTTTTGAAGCACCCGTGTTTTGGGCGGCCATATAAAATATCGAATCATTTCTTTCTCATGAAGTACATGATAGTTAAAACTAAGGATTGTATCGTAATCGGATAGATTTTCACTCGAAACTGCCCATGTATTTACGGGGCGAATAATTAACATTTTAATAATGGCAGCTTGACCTAATTTCTTTATTTGTATTTAACGAGGCAGTCGAGAGAAAGTCACGCTGACCTAGCTTGCGTTTCAAGTCGAATAAACTAAAAGCAGGTGCGTTCTACAATAACTTTATTGTAATATACAATTTGTATATCATCTTTACTATCAAATAAAAATAGAATTGTTTAATATAATTAGGGTGGAAACAATGCTTTTGAGGGTGTAAGTAATAATGCCATTTTATTATATTCTTGTTTGGTGAAAACGAGGCGCGGGAAAATGTGTGCCGCGCAAGAATCCAATCATTTGGCTAGATTTATGACTGTTTTTTATGTCATACCTAAAAATAGAATGTTTACGCTTTCTTCGTTGATGATCGTTTTTATTATTTTTTAAATTGAAAGTATGAATTATTAGTTAGATTGCGGATTTTGTAACTTGGTATACTTACCTTTTATCAATTTAAAAAACATAGCATGCTAATTGTGAACAAATATAGTCATAAAACACAGAAATATAAAGTTATAATTGCGATGTGCCACACCCGGGCCACACCCCCTCAAGAAAGCATGTGTTTATTAAGCTGTTTATCTCACTTTACAACAGTAATTAAAATTAATTTTCAAATTTTTATCACTTATTGGGTAAGATTAAGCACATGTTTACCAAAAATAAAAATAAAACAAAAGCAAATTCTGTTTTAATGAAGGTCACGGGTGAAGTTTTTTTTTCCTTCTGTCACGTTCAGTGGAGGGTGCCACAGGCTGACCTGACTTTGGAATTTTTTTCAGTAATAATGACTTTGCACAGAAAGTTAAAATATGCTAAATTAGCTTAGTTTACTAGTGTTCTAGCTATTATTGATACATTTTTAATAAAAAAATCATTCTGTAATTCTCATCAAACAGCCTATTAATATATTTAGTTAACTACCAGTTACCTACCACCTTTTTTTTTACTATGTCATTCTCAGATACTGGTAGATATAAAATCTAGTGGAATAAGAAATCCACCCTACAAAAACCAATGGAACAAAAACTAAAATTTCTAAAAAAAAAAAGACAAACAAAAAACAATTTAAAACAACACACCATTTGAAACCCAAGCATCGCGTATTTTGGTAATCTATCGCTTTGGGTACGTAAAATCGCCCGCGGCTATTAATGTACGAAAACGTTACCTCATTGTCAAGGCTGTAATAGAAGAAGTATATTGTGATATGTTTATGTCAAATATTATAGATAAATGGATAATAAACCTAAATCAATGGCTAAATATATCAATATAGGCCAGAAATTAACTTTAAACAGAAGTGTCTGCAAGCAAGATTTGCTATATAAACAGCAGCCATTTGTAAAATAGAGTGACTTCCGCCTGAATCTTGCGCTAAAAGCTTATAAATATAAAACTTAGACAAGATGGCTGCTATAGTAAATGAGCATGGTTGCATCTGTTGGAAACATCGCTAGTCTTCATTTATTACTGAAAAGTTTTAATTCAATTGTTTAAAAACAGGTACATAAATGAAACAAGGAAACATTTTTGTATTTTTAAAACATAAATCCTCCTCAAAATGTGAAATAATTATTAAAATGTAAGGAGTCACCTGTTTTTCACATTACTAGTCGCGGGCGATTTTACGTACCCAAAACGATAGATTACCCGTATTTTTATTGCTTGAGTACGTCGTGTGTGATGCACTTATCTTATTATATAACAGTCACTAAATCGTTTTTTCAATCAAATGCATTAGATCTTGATATAAATTATAATTTTAAAACAACAATTTAAACTCGCAAACTTGAAATGTTTACCTTGCTCAAAGGGATTCCCACAGTTGACGCCATCTTTGAAAGACAACTGGTTAAAAAAACACCAACAGTTATCCACCTTTGGTCATTCTTCTCATTTCTTTCGTTATCGAAATATCATTAGCCAATGTAAATCAATGGTTCTGCCTAGAGCATAGCTTGATTCTATATGAATGTGTGAAATACCACCATAACTGGTTTTAGATAGAAAACAACGTGTTTCAAAAATATAAATTAGATCCCTAATAAATATTGAAAATGTTCGTTTAAAAGAAAATGAACTTTAACTAATTTTTTTTTAAAATAAGTATGAACGGGTTTTTCCGAATGGTCCTGAATCTTCTGCCGAGCTATTAGATCTAGGATCTAGAGTCTAGATCTATAATCTATATTAAATATTATCATTGTAGATTTAGATCTAGTCTCGATTTAATAAGTAAGATCTATTCAAGATCTAGATCTAATCATCCTAAAAGCTTTTAACTGTTTCTTATGTTGTTAGAACCTGTTCAGATTTATTTTAACTAAACGATATCAATTTTCATTTGGTTTGCCTTTATTTTATTGACTCATTTAGATCTAAGTGTGGTGGCGTAGATGCAGGTGTAGGATAGACAGTGTACGTGACGGAGACGATCGACGAAGCACGGGTTAGAATTAGATTGTAATTACGGGCGACATCATTGTGGGGGGGTAGGTGTAGCAGACACGTATCTAGTTAGCCTGTGTGACCGGAATGGGGGTAGTTTATTAGCAGGGTCTGACATTTTAATCAGGTACGACAGAACTGTGGCGACATGCAAATTAGGTTAGACCGGATGGGGAAGACAAAGAAGTGAGGACGATGAGGGTTAGGAGGCAGTGGAATCTAGGCAGTCGAGGTTGAGACCATTGTAGTGAGAGGACGGATTCAAGTGTAGAGTTAGGGAACAGTGTAGGGACAATAGTGTAGGAAACCGTGAACAGTAGGTGTAGGCAACAAATATATATTGTGTGAAGCATCGGATGTATAATAAGTAAAATATTGTGAATCAAACTGATATTCGAGTTGGCTTATTTACTGTACGGATATGAGAGTTCTCGTCCTCGTCACAGTAGTAAATATATGTTCGTGTATAAGAAGGAAAGCAATAAAGTAACTATATGTGGAAACTAATAGAAGAATAACAAGAAGAATAGAGAAAGCAAGCAATTCCCCCCACCACATATTGGTGGAGCACAGTGGTTCGTAATCCGTACAGAAGTGTTGTTGAACATTCGATCTGACCAGAAGTGATGGTTGCAACATATTGTGTCTATCAGAAGTGCTACAAGTTATTGCAAGGAAGCAAAGATAAGTACCTTCCTCTAATTTTATTCAAATAACAGGGATTTTAGATCCTGTGCTGGATATTATACCAGTATTTTTGTTTATTGTTTTGTATTTGTCTATCAGTAATTAGCTTTTATAGGTTTGTTACTCTTAAATTGGCTGAGGCTTCCTAATTATAGGACACTCTGGGTGTAGGCCTGCTATTTAAGAGGTACATATTTATAGTTAGCTGTATCACGTAATGTTCGCATTATCGTGTCTATAGTCTATAGTGTAACTCATGTCTTCTATATAACCTGTCACGTGTTACTACTGTGGTAGGCTACATTTATTTTTACTTTCGTCCATTTATGTGTATCGTCCTGTTCAGTTAGAGTTATTTTGATATCTCTTTTTTTTCCACGCATCACCTATATTACATCACACTAAAACATGCCTCCATTTAATGAACTTCTAAATAAAACTAAGCCCGAGTTAGGCTTAGCATATACCATGACCGACTGGGCCCAACTATGCAAAGTAGGCAAGTCATTAGAAAAAAGCGGCGCGGAACTACAAGCGTGGATGAATGAGAAGCATAAAGCTGTTCAAGAAGATGCAGAGAGACTAGCAAAAATAGATGCAGACAAAGAAATTGAGAAAGCAAAAGTAGAGGCAGACAAAGCTATTCAAATAGAAATTCAGAAAGCAAAAGTAGAGGCAGACAAAGCTATTCAAGTTGCAAAATTAGAGATTGAAAAAGAAAATACAAAGTTAGAATTGGCTAGAATAGTGAAGGATAAAGAAGAAGAACTACGTCAATATAATTTAAAGTTAGAGAATCGGTCACAGCAACCTAAACACCATGAGTCAACGCTACAACAAAAAGCAGAGCTACCTAGATCTACTTATGAATATTACTACGATTCAGATGACTCATACAGTGAATCAGAGAGCAAGCCTACTACAAAAATTGATACGCCACACTCAGTTAAAGAAGATACCACAACAGACCACAACATGCAGATGAACTATTTGCGACAAAAGAACTACTACAATGTTCGATGCTACTACTGTAATAGACCAGGTCATAAAAAGATAAATTGTAAAAAACTATATTATGATAGACTCCAGCGGAATATAGAGCAGAATAGACGTCAATACAAGAGACCAATTTATAGATCAGCATACATGACATCTTTTAGTGAAGCCAGCAACAGGAAAGACACATTTACAGCCAAGATTAATAACAGATTTTCACGAGCTATAAGAGACACAAGATGCTCTACAATAGCGGTTAGAAGCTGCTTTGTTAGACGACATCAATACACAGGCAGAACACAACATGTCCAGAGTTCACGAGGCATAACATATGTTTGGCCAACAGCTATAATCCAGATTAGCACGCCATCAGCAACAAGAACAGTAGAAGCTGTTGTGTTTAGATATGGTCCACACGATCTTATCATAGGCAACATCAGAGGTGTCAAACAATTTCAAGTTGAGAATGACATGAACCATACAACACAAGTAAGAAGCAAACAGGCCGACACACAAAGTTCTATCGAACCGGTAGACAGAACGATGTACGATCTACAGAAAAGAAGTAATAATTTGGTGTTAGACATGAACACAGTTATTGAAGAGTTGTCTAAAAAAATCACAGAAATCGGCTCAGTTGTTCTCAGTTTGAGAAAACAGAATGATCAACTTAATGACAGATTGCTCAGATTAGAGAAAAAAGTCAACAATGAAAATGAAGAATATGTCCTAAATAATTCAATTGGTGAGAGAGCTTACTACTATTCCTGGTCAGCACTTAATCAGATAATGTCAGAAGTACAAGAAACTACAGAGCCTAAAGAAATGACCTGCACACGAGTACAAGACAAACGACGGACCTGTTCAACCCTAGCCTTAACCTAGCGCCCCATGTGCTTTACCCCATGACGGATAGAACTTGGACCACGCGCACCCCCTTACGAACGGTTTTGAACAACGTTTACACAAGGATTAACAAGTAAAGTAAATTCAAGTTATCAAACAGTATGATATAAGTCGTCGAAAATATCGGCGTGAAACGATGGGTCACTTTTGATGTTACAGAAAAAAGATGTTGTCATTACATAGTATAATGAGAGTTGCTCCATTATAACCATAAAGAGAAGAATGTCTTTAAGTTTCCATGAGAAGTTGAATATTTATGATTATGCACAGTCTACAGTCACAGGCAGAGAGCTGCTCCTGCACTACAGATATGTGACACGCAAAGCACACATGTCTTTTCTTTATTTGTATCTAATCTAATTCTGTTGGAAGACCAATTATGTAGTTGATGATTATTATAATGTAGTTAGTATTATTGTTGATGATTATAATGTAGTTACCATTGTTGTTGTTATGTAGTGTGTCGTGGACAAATAACCAGCACATCAAAATTTGGTGGGACTATTTTATAAGAGGAAGGTTATTTGTCTGACGGGCACAAACAACGCTAACGAGGCATATGTTTAAGACGACGTGTCAATTCATATTTTCTCAGAAACAACCATGAGAGACAGTCTGATGTGACGTATCCTTGCGCTGCCGCCCTCGCCAATGTCATCGTAAAACTAACTCGTCGACAACAAATACCAAGTCTCTAAATTTGCTACAGCAAACAACAACACATCGACAGGAGCAGTTCATCAGATCAACACATCTACAGGAGCAGTTCATCAGATCAACACATCTACAGGAGCAGTTCATCAGATCAACACATCTACAGGAGCAGTTCATCAGATCAACACATCGACAGGAGCAGGTCAGCAGATCATTACATCGACAGGAGCAGTTCACCAGATCAACACATCGACAGGAGCAGGTCAGCAGATCAACACATCGACAGGAGCAGGTCAGCAGATCAACACATCGACTGGACAAGCAGAAATAGAACTTTGTGAAATATCTTTTAAGCCTGAGAATCCTTGCGCACGGTCGCGTTCAGTTTTTCGACCAGGCCGCAACGGTCAATTAAGTGTGTTTATCAGTGAAAAAAAAAAAAAAAAAAAAAATTTATAGGGATCAATCAATCAAAGCTTAATGAAAACAACGGATGTTTAAGAACTGTGACATTACTTGATTGTTGAAATGTATTACTATGTGAATTACTATATTATGAGTGTATTGATATAATATGTACTTTATTCATCGTTGTATGTTACACAGTTATTGATACAAGTTACTAGCTATAGAAAAAAAAAAAAAGCTAATATAATTAGCTTTTTATTTGAAAGGGGGGAGGAATATGTGGTGGCGTAGATGCAGGTGTAGGATAGACAGTGTACGTGACGGAGACGATCGACGAAGCACGGGTTAGAATTAGATTGTAATTACGGGCGACATCATTGTGGGGGGGTAGGTGTAGCAGACACGTATCTAGTTAGCCTGTGTGACCGGAATGGGGGTAGTTTATTAGCAGGGTCTGACATTTTAATCAGGTACGACAGAACTGTGGCGACATGCAAATTAGGTTAGACCGGATGGGGAAGACAAAGAAGTGAGGACGATGAGGGTTAGGAGGCAGTGGAATCTAGGCAGTCGAGGTTGAGACCATTGTAGTGAGAGGACGGATTCAAGTGTAGAGTTAGGGAACAGTGTAGGGACAATAGTGTAGGAAACCGTGAACAGTAGGTGTAGGCAACAAATATATATTGTGTGAAGCATCGGATGTATAATAAGTAAAATATTGTGAATCAAACTGATATTCGAGTTGGCTTATTTACTGTACGGATATGAGAGTTCTCGTCCTCGTCACAGTAGTAAATATATGTTCGTGTATAAGAAGGAAAGCAATAAAGTAACTATATGTGGAAACTAATAGAAGAATAACAAGAAGAATAGAGAAAGCAAGCAATTCCCCCCACCACACTAAGTCTAATTTAAGACGAGTCGAAAAATAAAATCGTAAAAATTAGTATATTCGCTGTATTGGCATGTACAAATAGCAGTGGCGGGTTTGGTATGTGGAAGGGGGGTGGTGCCCAATTATTAGGTCCCCAAAATATTCTTATACAACCGATAATACATTTAATTTTCCTCCAACCCTGTTACAAGTAAGTTACACAAAGTCAGACCCTTCTCCCACTCAATTTGAATTTCTATCTATTCATATTTTCTTCAGAAGAAGCATAAGCAAATTGAGTAGGTTTTGCCGAAAATGTGTCTCCCTTTACAATGAAATAAATTAAAAAAAAAAAAAAAAAACTTATATAGAGACTAACTACTTTGAGAATGAATATCGAGAACAGAATTTTTAAAAGTGGGACCACACAAATAATTTATATTACATTTGCTGATGTAAAAAAGATGGTCTATTTTTTTTTTTGGTCAGTTTCTTCATCTTCGTTCTTAATTTTACTAGTGTTGGAAGAGATTCCCTCCAACACAATTTAGTATTACTATTTGTTATGCGTCATAGAGGTCGTTGACTCAGATTTCAGCCTGCTTTTTTACTTTCTCGTATATACGAAGTATAGAGAAAGTCTTGTAATCGTGCAAAAAAAAAAAATCGAGATTTTTACAAATCTCGACGTTTTACACCTCACTGATACGGAAAAACATAATTTTGCAATCTTGTCCGTATGTCTGTGTGTCTGTCTGTGATTCTGTCTGTATGTCTGTCATGTCTGTGTGATTACCGTTACAGCTAGGTTGATGAAATTACATATATAAGTATTTTATCAAAATCGTAGATCCTGATCAACTTTTGAGCGATTTCCGATAACCGGAAGTGGTACTTTTTCTACTTTGAATTTTTCAAAAGCATATAACTTAAGTACTATTACAGATAGATAAATGAAATTTCACATGTAAGTAAAAGATCTAATTCTCTACATTCTTTCAAAATTTGAGTAATTTCCGTTGACCGGAAGTACTAATTTACGCTATTTCCGATTTCTCAAAAAACGTATGTAAATTTATAAAGTACTAATAATATTGCGCACTATTATGCACCTTTTGTTTTGCCGTTCGCTTAGTGCGCAATTCTTTTTTTCTATGAGATTCTATTCTATTTTTAAAAGTTTAAGTAATTAAAAATCACGTCTATATTCCAAGTTATATAAGAATATTCGAGAAAGTTTAGGGGAGATCACTCCCGGTTTATTTGTATTTGCTTCCATAGCCTTTGTCCAACCAAGAACAAACTACAAAGCAGCAGTTATTTGATTTTGGAGTTCTCTCTTCTAGATGAGTGACTGTCCCCAGCTATCGAGCCTCGTCTGCCCAGGGCTTCGAACTCGGTACTTTTCGATTCAGCAACCATGAGTTTAACTGACACGACCCCTTAGAGGCGTTGCGAGGGGGTGCCGCGTGCGGATCGCACCGGGTGACACCATTTAGGGGGTGACACCATGTCGAAAAATTGCAAATTATATAGAAGAAAAATGCTTTTTGCCATTAGTAGTATATTAGGTCAATTGTGTTCCACGATGCGGACGACTCATGTTTCATGCCTGGTCTTACACCAGTTGTTAGTTACAATATCTGTAGTAAAATTTGTCTTATTTACACCCTTTGTACTACATATAGTTTATTAGAAGTTTTTATTTTATTTTTAATACTTGCTTGTTGGTTTCATGCACGTTTATTTATTTACATAGGTGAGACTATTTTGTAATCACTATTTGGTCACGAAAATCGGTGACCTTTGGAGTCCCTTGATGTGTTTGTTCAAGTACCACCGTTGTTTACATTTATTTCATGGCAAAAAGTTCACTGTAGTAAAAGACTCGTTTGCTCACTAGTTTAAGTCAGTTTAACTACTGTTCTAACACTTGCGTACCTCTGAGTTCATAGTAAGACCCGTTAGCGCCATACATTGTCATATTTGAATTTTGGTAGGCGCTAAATCTAAAACATCTTTAGCCTCAGTTTTTTTAGTATGGTGCTCTCTGTTATCAATGTCAGACTGCTGTGTTTGATCTTTATATCATAACATTGAACTTCTAAAACGTGTTAATGAAATAAAATGGCTCATTTAATTTAAAACAAAAATCTCATTTCAATGTGCTGGCGACTAAATTCACGATGCCTAGGAAATAACTACCTGCCACAAACGCCATTGAATGTTTAAAAAATCTGGCAATAAAGCCAAGACTAAAGTTCACAGAACTCTTGCCAGGTTGTAGGTATTATTTTTACCGTATTTTTTGTTATTCTGTCTAAACAACTGAGTGATGATGTTAGTGGTATATTATATAGTTGGGGCTATAGTGGAGTATTGGATCTTTACGTTTATCTCCTGTATCGGGAGATCAGAGGGAAATGAAGGAAAACTATCCTGGCGTCGATAATGGAGGTTTTATGTTACTGTGGTTGGCACTGGTGGTCCTGACAACATTATTACAAGTTGGTGAATGACTTGGGTTCCATCGTACCTGCCCTGTGAAATAACACACACACACACAACTGAAACTAATATCAAATGGAATCACAACAAAAGTCTTCTTAAATTGTATTAATAACTGACTATACATAACTCTTTACTCTGAGTTGTGTACACTTTAAATATATTAAACGGGGTGGGGGGGGGGGGTGAAACAAACTGAAGAATTTAGAGAGGAATAAAGGCTTGTTTTTTTTTTATAACTCAATAAAAGACAGTAGAGAGGGTGACACCAAAACCTAATGACTTACGATAAAAACGATGCTTTGTCCACATGAGTTAATAGGAGGATTGTATGCACAAATTAACGTCAGTATGCAAAATGGGAATATGTCACAAATTGCAACTATATATAGGCCTATGTAGACAAATATATATATATATATATATATATATATATATATATATATATATATATATATATATGCGGTGACACCATGAGGTGCCGCACTGGGTGACACCCGACCTCGCGATGCTACCCCTCATTATGTTGGTTTATTGATCCAATCATAAAACACATTTTTTGTCCAACCACTTCCCACCCCATGCATCATAACATAATAATTTTATCGACCAAACTCAACAATGTATCTCAAATTCACTGAACCAAAGTTTGGAGAATTTTTAACATTTTTGTAGACTTATCAAAGTTTGTCAGCTCCACTTTGCTTAAAAGCCTGAACACTTTTTTTTTTGCATCCAGTGAATGACATTTGTTATCATAAGATTAAATGAAAGGTAGTACAAGTGTTTTATGTCATCCTACTATTAAAAAAAAACCCTAACAGAAAAATAGCTTTGAGAAATAATATATTTTAATATTATTTAAAGGCAATTAAACAGTAGATCTGTATAACATGCAGTTTAAATCTTAAAAATGATATAAAACAGTGAAGGAATATAAATGATACTAGGCAGTGTAGACACTATAAGTAATAATTTCCAATTTAAAATAATCAGAAATCGCAAAACAATTAAAATATTAGAATTATTCACATATTGCTAAAAAATATAAAAAGTTTAACGTTTGAAGTGAACACAAAAATTGGATTCAATACACTTAACTTAACAAAGCAAAAGATAACAGTATACTTTAAAAATTATCACACTCTAGAATTCAATTCTGAATAAGCATATGTTGTAAATAAACAATTAAATTTGTTTAGCCATCACAGCAAAATTAATATATATGAATCATCCATATATTGTTAAACATTATACAAAATTTAATGAATGAATTAAACACAAACATTTTAAAAAGAACAAAATGTATGAATAGCTTTAACATATGCACAAAAAAAAAGAGAAAATGATTTTCTCCAAATATATGATAACTAACGACTATTTAAATAATATTAAGAAAAGTGTAGGTTGCTTATACAATTTTGATGATGGTATACTATAAATAGCAACCCATGATTTTCTTTAGTTATTTAAATAGTTGTTCTTTATTATATATCTAGAGAAAATCATTGTTTCTTTCTCTTTACTCCATACGATTATTAATGTCTTTTATTCATTTTAAAATAAGTTTATATTTAGTTCACCGGACAAAGTGGAAGATTATGGATTCACAAAGAGTCAAAGGGACTGTTGTGGGTTTCAGCAAATCTTGACCCACTTCTATCACAGCATGTATAATATACAAGTCTAGGAAAAAACTAGCAGAAAGTTAATGTTATATGAAAACACTTTTCCAAAGGAATATATATGCTAACTTTTTGCAAGTTTTTTTCAAGACATGTAAACGCAATTTAATTAGATTTTTGTGTTGTCTCTGGAGACCAATGCATTTAAATAATTAAAAACAACTTACTTTTGTTTTTAATTATTTAAATGCATTGGTCACTAGAAACAACACTAAAATCTAATTAGAGTTTACATTTGTCATTATAAAAAGAATTAGTTAAAAGTTTATAAAATTCCGCAATAAAAGGGGAGCTTGATAGTAATTTTATATTACATTTTTTATTTAACTAGAATCAAATTGTATAACTAAAAATACTTGAACACCAAATGAACACATTCATTTGTGTGTAATGGCATGATAACGTAAATACTTCACATAGCAATCTTTAATTGATTTTTAAAAATCAATTAAAAATCTAACAGTCTCACAGTTTTTCACATTCCATGTAGTTGAGTCTTGACTTGTATATCAAGTTTACTTGAGTGAGCAAATAAGTATTAGCATTAGTAAAAATAAGTAGCACTTCATTACAGCACATCCAAGGTACAGTAAAAAAAAAAATAAATCCTTCAGCTTAAAAAAATGGACATTAATCTTCATTTATTCACTGTTTAGAAACTTAATGTAAGAAAAAATAAATAAAAGAGGTTATTTCTTAATCATACTTGCAATTAAATGCTTTGATTTTTTTTATACTTAGGATAACAGCAAGGGAAATAACTGCTAATCAATACACTCAGCTGAATACATTGCTAACATTGTATCAACTAAATCATCAATATTGCTCACATCACCAGTGTTAGCCACAGGATCCATTAGACTTAGCAGCTGATGAACTTTACTTTTGAAATTTGACAATCTCTCTTCAATGTCTATATAATGCAGCTCCATTGTTAAAAGCTGCTCTTCTGTCAATGAGAGCTTTGATTTCAGGTTTTCTATTTCCTTTTGAGCATCATCACAACTTAACTTATCTGCTTGATTTTTCATCTTTTCTGAATGAGAGGATTCTTCACTCTCAGCTTCAATGTTTCTAAGTGGTGATGAACAAGCAAAGCTAGGCTTTACATCAAACACACTTTTGTTTCTTGAATGGTGAGGACCGGCATGGTTGTTTTCAATTTTACTAGTTAATTCATTATTTACTGGCAGTGCTGCTTCTGGTATACATGCATCATTTAAGCTGATACAGTTGAGGTCATCAGTGTCCGTCCACACAAGGGTGTCATCTTCCACTGAGTCTTCAACACCATTTAAACCTGTAGTGTCTAGTGAAGCTGACGAGGTGTTAAGGGAAATAGAATTAACTGTAGTGCATTCTGAACTGTTAAGAGAATTAGAATTAGCTGTAGTGCACTCTGAACTGTTATTAATGATTTGATCTGTGTTACAAGAGTGGCTGTCCATAGATTTATCAGAAAGTTGTGAATCATTGTCTGAAGTGATTATTTCTTTGTCTACTGGGCATGAAAGCTGACTTGCATTTTCTCTGTTCTGGTCACTGGAATGTTTTCTGACCACATAGTCAATGCAAAACTTCAATTTGGTTTGGATCATACTTTTCTGAGGGCTTGGAAATGATTTCTGTGCTGAATTTGGAAATTTTTCATTGCTTCTCAGTAACTTTCCTGTAGAGACACATATATTTTGTTTAAAATTTGTTTGCAAATCTAATTAAGTTTAAATATTCTTGATAAAATATAAGTTATTTTAATACGTTTAGTTTTTAAATGAGGCTACTAAAAGTAAAAGAAGTAAGCACATATTATTTATCTGGCTCAAAAAAATAAAATGAATATATGAATTTTACTGCAATATTCTAAATTAAAGAAAAAAAAATAGATACGTTAATGAATACTTTATAAAGTTGTGAACATCAAGAAAAAAATATCAATATTACGTCTTTTCTAATAAATCACTAAACAAAAAACAGGAAAAAAAGTTTTAATTAAATATATAATAATAATTATGTACAACTAGTTGTTATATAACTATAAAGAAAAGAGTGGGTGGCGCATAAGATTTAGTAAAGGTTTTCAATACATAGTATAGTGACCCGCTCTTTTCTTTATAGTTATTTAAACAGTGGTGTATCATTTTCTTTATAAAGGGTATTTTTTTCCTTCTTCTTTTTAAAGCATATATAAAAGTTTATTATAAAACTTCATTTAATTAAAAAAAATACTTCTAATTTTAATAAAACCAAATTGCATAGATACAAATGTTTGCACCAAATGTTTGTGTAACATCTCAAAAAGATTAATATTAGTTATATGGTAGTCTTTAATAGAGTAAAAAAAATTTTAAACACTAAGTATTAAAACAAAAGCTGCTGAGAAATGAAGTTAAAAAAAAACCTTGTGAAAATAGTGTATTTAGATGAGAATCATTACTATTATTATCTTGATCTTTTTTTTTCTTTGGGGTACTATGCTTGCACAGTCTTTCAAAATCTTCATCATATTTATTGTTGTCATCATAAACTCTTTTTCTTCGACTACCAGTAGATGTGTTCTTCTTTGATAACCTGCATTTGTTAATAAACAAAAATATAATTTACTAATACAATCTATAAAAATTACATATTTTTTTTACTGTGTGTCAAAGTTTATTAGTTTGGAAATATTAATCAGGTAGTTAAGGTCCAATATGTATTTCGAATCACTTTTAGCTGAACTTATAGCTAAAATAAAAGTTAAAGGTAGAGTTATGTTAAGAGATATTTTAATTTTAAGTTCATGGCTAATGTTTGTCTACTTCAACTATTAATATTTATAATTTCTATGTTCACAGCAGTTTTATTACAAAATGAACTGAACATTTGCTTAAAATACTCACTCTGTTGAACTCTGTACTGTTTTTCTGCATCCATTCTTAAATGTTAAAAAACTCAAAATTGAACACAGATATAAACGAGATCTCTTACACTCCCAATAAAATGGCCTATGTCTGTATTATGTTAATTGTAGGCTACCACAAGGTTCATAACTAACATAGAGATCCAGTAATAAGCTATTACTGTCATCTGGTGCTAGGGCCTTGTCGTGGCATGGCAGCTTGCGTACCCTGACGACCCCCAGAGCTATACCAGCGGGAGTGTTAACTCCTGGCAGGTTCAACCAAGCTGGGAAGGTCTGCGCGGGTAGGGGTCAGACGAAAGCTAGCACCCTGGTCCTCCAGGTTGGGGGTTGAGCATAAGGTCAGCAACCTTATCTCGTAAAACAAATTACCCGCTACAGAAACGCAGACAGAGAGAAACAAAGACAGCTCGGACCAGGGGAAAAATGGATCTCCCGATGGAGAATTTATGAAGCCGGGTGGTGAAAGCCAATATGTATTGGAAACTACCAGGTCGACCACCATTACGTGACCTGGAAGAAGACACCAAGAAGATTGGATACACCTGGGGACAGTTGGAGAGACTAGCCCTGGACAGAGACGTCTGGAAAGCTCTTGTCAGCGGCCTATGTCCCAGTAGGGACGACAGGCAAACATGACATGACATGAATAAGCTATTAACGATCTCCTGACCACTAATCCCCCCCCCATTGAGTTTTAAAGCATGCAACGTTTGATTTATTAGCATTGAACCACACCACATTTGTTTAAAAATTATATTTTGAATAAAATGGTAATAAGAACTGTCAATATTTTTTTAATTTACAAAGCAAATGATACTTTTTGATTATATAAAAAAAAATGTTCAATACCTACCAATTCTACACTTGTATCATTCGTCTTTGGTGTTTCCCTGAACAAAAGCAATTAAAAAGAATATTTTACAAAACAATTTAATAGGCGTTTCATGTATAAAATGTACATTTATTTTGCATTTCTTGAAAATTTAACTCACTTTTTCTTCCTGCTTGTTTTTTTGTATGTGGGTTTAGTTACTATCTCCTCCTGTTCTTCAGAAATGTCACAGCGACTTAAAAAAAATGGAACTCATCTAATTGCTGTCTTTGTATTTTAGAAGTTACATTTTTGATTGATTGAAGTCAAATTACTATAAACAAACTCAAAAATATTTATTATAGGTTGCAGTTTGATGGTTAACTGTAAAATAAAGTATCAATTTAGAGACAAACATTCTTAGAAATACAGGAAAAAGTATGAGTAATAATAAATTTTTACAAGTCCAAGAAGAAAAAATATTAAGTTATTTCAATTTTATCCAAACCATTAATTGCTTTAACTATAAAAAGTGAGATAAACCTACTTGTACAAACCATCCTTATTCATTAAGCAATACCAGTTATCAGGGAGGGATTCTTTAGTTGTACCTGGAGGCAGACGTCTCCACTTGAGACAGTTATCACACTGGGCCCACAGATGGTCAGGTCTTGAAGCAGAGACATTTTTATAGGTCTAGTTAAGTTTTATCACTGTTTGGTTAAAGGTAATTTGAAGTCATTTAGATGTATATATATTTCTTAATAACAATTTTACTACCACAAATCTATTTAAAACATAAGTTTGTTTATCAAAAGTCTAATTGTAAAGTCTAATTAAGGCATGTGTTTGTTTATCAAAAGTCTAATTATAGCATGAGTTTATTTAGCAAAACTTAATTAAATCATGGGCTTAAGAAAATAAAAAAAAATAATTTTAATTTTACTGGACTAACTCAGAGTAAATTAAGTTAAAGAACTTTCCATTTTTTCTGCAAATTATGGACTAACTCAGAGTAAATTAAGTTAAAGAACTTTCCATTTTTTCTGCAAATTACATTTTAAAGTTTAGTGTGTTAATATACAGGAAATGACAGAAAGTAAATCCACATTAATGTGCTGGTAATGTGCAACAAGCCAAGACAGCTTCAGTAAGAAAGCTGTTAGGTAATATATATAAAACTTTCATAGGGATCATCTATAAATGGCACACATTTCACTCCCTTCCCAACTCCTTCTTTTTTATCAGACATCCTTACAAAAGACCAAAATACCAAATGTGTGTGTTATCATTTATAAAGGACCCCTAACTGCAAAATCTGTTAATATTTTTAAAATGACAAATTGTGGGCCAATTCCATAATCTATGTGTCTATGGGTAGAATGGTTTTCTGGGCTCTACATTTCAAATTCTATTAGTAAAACAATGAAGTGTTAATATACAAAGTGGTGAGTTAAATATGCAAAAAAATAATTTTAAAAATTGCAACATGCATTTTCACAAAATTGGTTCTAAAACAAAATACCAGTTAAAGTAAACCTACCTCATGTAAACTGCAGCTAATTTTAATTTGCAAACAAAAAATATTTTAAACATTAGATTAAAATATAAACAATGGGTCAGAGAGGGAGTGGCTGTGGAGATCATCTGACATAGACAGGATCTTGTTAGTCAGGGTTTAAAGTTTCGAGCCCATATAGAAATATAAGTATATTTATTTATCGAGTGTTGGGGAGTTTTTACATGTACTTAGTCTTTATGTATGTATATATATATATATATATATATATATATAAACACACATTTACAGTGGTACCTTAACATAAGATAGTCCTAACATGAGATTTTTTAGCATATGAACTGCTAAGGGAGCAATGTTTTGTTTTGAAATATGAAAAACATATAAGATACAATGAGCCAGTGATGAAATTAAAACAAAAGTAAAAAAAATATTCTACAGTAGTATTTGAGTTCCATTGAGTGACCAAAAGGATTGGTGTGGCATTTCTAATGACTGGAATGGATTAATGGTGTTTCAATCAATTTTAATGGGGAAAAATGATAAGAGCTACAAGAAATCAGACATACCAAGTAATGAAATTTGTACATCAAGGTACCTCTATATAGATATTTAAATACATACATCTTTCTTCCATAATGATTTTAAAAGTGTAAAACAGTGGCTTATATGACAGTCACAATTTTGGAATTGAAAGTGAAAAGAGCAGGAGTGTACTGGCTGTAACATATAATACAGCTTATTGTCTGGGTCTATGATGGTGGGGGGTCATTAACCCGACTTCCTAAACCCTTTTAATACCCAAGCAACTTTAAATTTTGGTAAGATTTGTCTAACGCTGAAGCAAATGAAATTGTTGTGGTTTGATCAAGGAAATTAAAGTGTAAACTGTAAGGGATTTAGAATAACAATAGGCAGTGAGATTGTTAATATGGAGACATTTGAAGATGCAGGTTTTGTGTGAACATGCTCAAATATTTGTACCTCATGCTGAGTTAATATTTGTGACAGAAGAAAGCAGCTCCTTACTGAGGAACCAATAACTATGGGGTGAAGAGGATCATTGTGAAATAATATTTGTAAATTTAACAGGAGCAATAATGCAAGCATGTGCTTAAACTAGCCTCACACTGTTAGTTTCAAATCAACCAGCCATTTCAAGCAACATTCCTGTTTTTAATTAAGTAGAACATTCATCTCTCTACTTTTATTGTCGATTTAATAGATTAAATTGAACTTTTTAAAAGGAGAGTATCTTAAAAATGAACCAAACTTAAACATAACTATACTATCTATTTAAGAAAGTATTTAAGGACCTACTGAGTAGTTTCATTTTTTTCAGACTTTTTTCCATCCCAATAGTCATTTAGCTTTTGTCCTAATGCACTCATTACTGAACTGTAGAAAGAGAGGGAAGTATATTCCAAATGAAAAGCACATCAGGCAGTTCTAAACAGTTACAATATTTAGACAAGCACATAAAACATTCATATTTTCAAGGTGCTTTATAAACTAATCAATTTCAGGAAGATAATGATTATCCTAACAAGAATAGTTACTTGAACTTTTCATCTTTGTTGAAATCCTGCTTGTTGTGAATAGGTTGTAAAAAATCAACTTCAACAACACCAACGATCCCTACACCGAGTTGATTTGGCTGAACAGAAAAAAGTAGATCAAGCCTTAAAATAATTAATAAGTCTTTAAGTTTAATAATAAATATCCTTGAGTATAATTACGTTTTTTTAGTGAGAAACAACACTGAAGAAGTATTAGCAGCTTAGTATAAATAGCAATATTGTGGTAGCAAACTGTGGTAGCATAGAATACTGGTATAAATAGTAATATATTTGTAGAAAACTGTAGTAGCATAGAAAACAGGTGTTAAAGGCAATACATTTATTGCAATGCTTACTTGCTTTTGGTAGCCAACTTTTTCATAGGCTTTAATCAAGCGGTTTCTGTGATAAATCATCAACCCATAATCATCAGCAACATCTTGTTCACAGCTAAAACCAATTGTTATTGTGACAGGCTTTTTCTGAATTATAAGAAATCCTATCAATAAACATTAATCTTTTGTGTATCTATCAATTTATGTACAGTATATCTTTGTATGTCAATCTAACATTAAACATGCTATTGTATTTATATATACATAGAGGCCTACATAGATTCTGGTTAATTTCACCAAACATTAATTTGGAATGAATCCTAAAAAAACTAAAATAGAATCATTAACTATTACATGAAAATATGAAGAATAACATTTTAAGTGAATAAATAAAGCCTAGGGAAATCAAGGTTCTTATCTCCCTTGTCAAAATGAATAAAATTCATGTTTAATTGTTTGTGTCCAACTAATAAAGGTCCAAATGATATTTTAATGTTAAATATCATGTATGTATATGTGTGTGTATGTATATATGTATATATATTAATTGTTCTGGCACAGAATGTAACTCACCAGCCATAAAGGTTTGTAAATATCTCTTTCTGTCTGATACAGCATTCTGGCTATATTTGTTGATTTTATTTTCACACCACGTAGGTGAATTTTCATTCTTGGATGAAGGTATAGAATTTTGCAATACTCCTAAAATTAAATTGAAAATATAAATAAAATAATGCATTATTAATGATAAATTAAGCAAAATTTGGGATAACTATCAAAGCGATTTTAAATATTGGCAACTCATGTAATTTTAAAATGTAAAGGGTAGACTTTACAATAGTTTATTGTGGTAGTAATAGAGCATTGTCTTCTTTAATCTGCTTGAAGAATTAAAAATAGTTGTTTTTATTTAACAATTAAAAAGATAAAAAAAACTCTGGATACCTGTATCTCCCCAGATAAATATGTTCAACACAAAATAATTTACATCTTATACCTACTGCTTAATCACAATATATTCTACTAAATTAATACTCCAGTTTTTCCTTGGCCAAAACTGTCCTTACTGTTTATGTAAATTATCTGAACTATATTAAAATGAAAAGTAATTATAAAAAAACATACTCTAAGAGAGCGCTTGTATTCAGATGATTGAGTCTGGATTGGACGATTGTTGACATTTGATGCATCTGGCTTGTGTGGTTCTGGGCATCTTATATCAGATACATCACTTGAAAAATCCAGTTCAAAAGTTTTATCCTCTAACCTATATTTGAAAATGGAAGTTTCACTAAAGCCTTTTATTCAATTTTTGCCACTATTGTTCTTTCTACACTTAAGTTCTGGCAGTCTCATTACTGTACTTAAAGAAAAAGTTTATTAAATTTGTCAGAAACCAAAAGTAACAATAAATGTGTAAACATTGTAGGCCTACTAGAAATGTTGTAAATCAGAAACCTTTTCAGTTTAGAGATAACAATTCTAGTGCCAGTTATTGATCTGTGAACCGCATTCAGATGAAACACAAGTTGCTCTTCAGTTTTGAAGACAGAATGCTGTAAAATAGCTCTTAAGTTGTTCCTGGACAGATGAGTATCATCTCTTTTAAGTGTTCAAATTAAGGAAAAATAAAATGTTTAAAAATTCAAACCACTTAAGATTCTTTAAAAAAAAAAAATTGAAGCACATAAATGTACATGTTCTTTGCAAACTTAATTTATTATGATAAAACTACCGGAAATTTTACACACAATAACAAATTATTATACATTTATTTCCTCGACCAAACACATCATTTTCTGATAATTTAACAAATTTACGTAAACCTAGTTTCAATAAAAGGATATAGTTGGGCAGTGTATATTCCAATATTGGAACAATGACAGAGTCAGCATTTATTGCCTGGAGGTATGTCTGTGATAAAAACCCAACACTTCCACTCTGAGAGCAAATAGTGAAAACAAGGGCATCATTGCCTAAACGCATGGAGCCAGACTTGAAACCATTACCATACTGTCCAACAGACTTCAGAACACTCTTTTTTTTCTCCATATCTTTCTCACAGTAGCCAAAACTGAAAGTTAGTGCATACAACTGGTTGATTTTTATTCAATTTAATATTAACTTCAAGCTCAATAAATCACATAGAGTTTAAGGCTCACAAATGATGTACTGTGTAATGGTATAGCTGCATGTAGCGAATGTAGAATTATTTATTAATTCTGTGTAATTTCTTAGATAATTATGGTAGCAGTAAAAATGCTACTGTGAGATTAGCAATTCAATTAGGGAAAACACAGAGAAGGCACATTGTGAGTAGTACAAACAAGTTGTTTTTGTGAATATTTTTTCATTAGCTAAAATGATCAGAAGATTATCATTAAGCTACGTCAGGTATTCATCTAAGCTGGTGATGGGGAGGTAGGTCGTAAGGAGGTGTATATTGGACTAGAACCAATTCTTGCATCACTTCATGATAACTGACCCCCAAACAAGGAAGAGCACATTAAAATAAAATATTGAGAATTCAGATTTTAGTTTATAAGCGTTTTCTTATGTGAATAAATTTTACATGCCAAGTAAACGTAAACTTTTAAAAACCACTTTTAGTTACAATTAGATAGTTAAGAAGCATGTTTGTATCTGTTTAGTTTAGATTAATCCCTTGTAATTTACTAATCTTATTTTTAATATTCGAAACATAATAATGCACCTAAGCATCCTGTAAAGATGGTCAGTATCCATGCCTTTTCCATTGTCAGTAAACATCAGTGATTCTTCATTTCCTAAATCCACTTTGTCGATACGCATATCTGCAGCACTCGAATCGTAAGCATTGTCTGAAAAATATGATGATGCATCTTATTTTAAGCATTCTCTTTTATTAACTATAAGCTGAATAATGTTATTCAATCTGTTATACCTGATTAATTGTTCATATTTTTAACATAAAACTATAATACCAGAAATGCATGGAGGTCTCACCTATTATCTCAACTATTGCGCTGAATGGCCATGTATGACTTGTAGAATTTGCTTGTAGAAAGTTTGGATGTACCTAAATTAAATGTAGTAAAAAATAAATCTCTATTAATAAACCCTTACTTACAATGTCAAGCAGACATTGTTTTGGACACACTCCATCCAAATTATGATTGACCCAAGCATTACTTTACTGACACTCCCACTATCAATGAAGAATTTTGTTTTTGGTTGGTTGAGGCCACGCCGGGGGGGGGGGGGGGGGGGGGGGGGGGGAGGACGATCTGTCCGGGATTCAAAGGGTCGATTCTAAATATCATCCAAAAGTTTTAATACCCCGGTCGGATTATCATAAACCTGCCTGTACTCATTAGTCATTAGATTATAGATCTAGATCTAGTACTAGATCTAATAATAAGAGTAAGTATAGATCTAGATCTAGTAATTACTAATTATGAGTAAGTACTGAAGTACTGAAGTACTGCCACTGCCACGTCAACTAGACTCAAGATTTATTTGAGTTTGTATTGTTCAGTTTCAAAATAATTGTATTTTAATGTGAGTGCAAGAATTGTGTAAGTAGGCTACTTTAAAATAAAAAAAAGCATACGAAAAACTTACTTTGCTAGGAAGAATACCATGAATTAAATCTTGCGCTCTGGGGCCCGCCATTTTAGTTGCAGCAATTCTTAGAATTTATCGGGAATTTGCAAACCTATTATTAGCCATCAGCAGCAGTCAGATAAGGGTCTCAAGATCTAATTATTTAAAACGAGCCGACCCGCAGCGCATCATACGCCGCTATTTAGTTGTTTTATTTTCTACTTTTCAGTAATTCATAATTTGTGAATTCGACAGTACCAATGCTGCCACTGAAAATATTTGCTTTAAAACACTAACCCCCCCCCCCTTTCCCCTAACCCCGACCCTACACCAACCCCCCCCCCCCCCCCCCGTGAAAGCAGCCTCCACTTAGTTATTTCTTAGTTAGGCCTACCTCCTGTAAGTTTAAAATCGAACTAAATTATCTGCCCCTAATAGAAACTCAGCTCCACGGCTCTACGATTTGTAAACATTTAGCTTTGTAAACATTTAGCGTGACCACAACTCACCAGACAATGTGGGGGTGGGGTGGGGGTGATAGTGATAGTGATAGAGAGAAAGAGAGGGGACTGCAAGGAGGCGCTTGCAGCTTGTTTTCTAACGGCTCCCAGAAGAGAATTATATATATATAGATTAAAACGAGCTGACCCGCGGCGCATCATACGCCGTTATTTAGTTGTTGTTTTTTCTACTTTTCAGTAATTCATAATTTGTGAATTCGACAGTACCAATGCTGCCACTGAAAATATTTGCTTTAAAACACTAAAACCCTCCTTTCCCCCACCCCCCCCCCACCCCTCGTGAAAGCAGCCTCCTCTTAGTTACCTCCCCTAAGTTTTAAATCGATTCAAACTAAATTATCTGCCCCTAATAGCCGTCACTAAACCCGTCTCTACGATTGTAACCATTTAGCGTGAACCACAGCTCACCAGACCATGTGGGGATGGGCAGTGGCGTAGCGAGGTCGGGTGTCACCCGGCGCGGCACTTAATGGTGTCACCCGCCAGAGGCGTAGTGACCCTTCCCGGGGACAATCTTTCATTTTTTTTATTTGCACCCCCCTCAAGCTTTTGATTTGCGCCCCCCTAAAACTTTCGATTTGCACCCCCACCCCTCGTTTTTCTCTATATATTTTGCAATTTTTTGCCTTGGTGTCACCCCCCTAAATGGTGTCACCCGGTGTGGTCCGCACCCCCCGCCCTCCCCTAGCTACGCCCCTGGGGATGGGGGTGGTAGAGATATGCCTAGAGAGGAAGAGAGGGGACTGCTAGGCGCGCTTACAGCTTGGTGTTTTCTAGGGTCTCCAAGAATAGAATTATATGTATAGATATTCAAAACAAACATATTAATCTTATTGTTAAAGAACATTCTGCGACCGCATAATAATATATGTTGTCTATTAAGTTGGTGTTTAGGCCTTATGCCGCTTATAATACTTAGCAGTAGCGTAGCGAGGGGGGGGGGGGGCGGGGGGGGGGACATATGTCCCTGGGCGCCGACCTTAGGGGGGGGGGCGCCAAATTGAAAGTTTGATGGGGGGTGCAAATGAAAAGTTGGAGGGGGGGGGGTGCAAATGGAAAGTTTGAGGGGGGGGGTGCAAATGAAAAGTTCAAGGGGGGGGGTGCAAATCGAAAATTTGCTCCCAAGGGGGCGCCAAATTGAAAGTATGTCCCCGGGCGCCGGGAAGGGTCGCTACGCCTCTGATACTTAGTTAGGCTATAGTATATTTAATTACTTATTGAGGTTGAGGTTGACTTATAATATTGATAATATTTCTAGATTTTGCTACTTGAATTGTCAAAATAAAATCCCGATTAAAAAATTCTCATTGCAAATCGAGAAATATAATTTTAAATTTAAACCCCACATTGGAATTGTATTTATTCGGCATTAGGGATTGTCTGCTGCACTTAAGACTTAAGATGACACACGCGAGACAACCTTTATCTAGGGGCTCCTCTGCCTACGCCAATGATATTCTCTTTGATCTTTATAGATTATAGTAGCTCTGCAGAAACTCGCAAGTAAAATGTATGTAATACCTAAATCTACATTATGTTTTTTTTTTCCAAAACTTCTACCCAACATAGGCTCTACAAAGCGTAACTAAAACGATGTCTAGATTAAAATAGTTTATTTAAACAACCGAAACAAAGCAGACATATTTCACAATAGTATCAATATCTTTTTGGGTAAACCACTACTCATATAACAACGAAGTGGAAGTGTGTGAGATAAACAATATTGTGACGGTTATGTATTTATAAACAAATAGTTTAATGAATGTAAGTTCTGACAACACGTAGGCTATAATTTAAGTATTTTCTTTTTACTATTTATATTTCAAACAATGTACAAACTTAGTGCCCATCCCCCGGAAATATCAAAACCCCCATCCCCGGAGAAAAAGTCTGAAAGAAACACTGGCCCCAGTAACGATGCTTTAATAATCCTATTAGTTTTTAGATTTAATAAAAAAAAATAACGAGTTTATATTTCTCCATTTAAAAATTTCCATTACTTGCAAATGCAAATGCAAGGTTCAATTCTCTTTTTATATTATTGTTAAACTAACAAATTAAATGCTTATGTTAGTAACAGTGTTTCTTCCAGGCATCTCTTTGGGGGGGGGGGGTCTACTTCGAAGAGATATATACTTTTAACAGCTCCCCCCCTTCCCCGAAATTTTAGTCCGCCCCCCTGAAAATTTCAAGTGCCCCCCCCCCCCCCCCGGAGAAAAAAGTCTGGAAGAAACACTGGTTAGAAAGTAGGCTACATGGACATAATTATGCAATATAGCGGTTCCACACATTTAAAGCAATATTTGAAACAAAGTTAGACCACCAATTAATAGCGAAGAGTTATCTTTCTTGTCTTTCTCGTAGTGTAGTGTTTGAGTGAAGAAACGTAGCAATCGCCAAGTTAGTCACTGTTAAAAAATATATTTTCTGTATAAATTTCATTTCGTTCGGGGGGGGGGGGGGGGCAGCCCAAAGAGATGCCTGGAAGAAACTCTGGTAAAGTGTCATCACAGAATAGTAATTATCACATCCCGGTGAGAACTACCAATTTTGCGCTCCCCCCCCCCCCCCCACATTTATATATAGTTATTCACGTTGGTGAAAAAGTGCCCCCCCCCCCCTCGTTTGGAAAAGCGAGGATGCTTTTTACCAATCTTTAACAGAGTTTTTAATTTGGTGTCACACAATTGATATATAAATAAACTAAATAAGTCCGTAACACCAACACATTGTAATGTCTATTTCCTTTTTATATTCTTTTTAAAGCTAATCTGAAAAGCGTAATGGTCAAGTTTCAAATTTTTCCAGATCAGGTTTGTTCGGAAAGGATGCAAACATTCTGTTCAGAAATGTATTAGCTTTGTTGTCCATATCTTGATTGATTAAATTAAATAATGAAGTAACTACACGCATCTTTTTTTTTGTTGCTTTCTAACAAAAGCTGTGAAATTTGCACTTTATGAAAAGTTTTGTTGTCCTAAAGACAAAATGATATAATTAACACATTAAAGCACCGAAAATAACTATAACATTCTATAACTTTTTGTCGGTGGTTTCCGTTGTAGCAGAATATTAGAAAAAGTTTGATGTAAAGATCCCGCTGTCAAAGTCAAACAATAAGCTGGGCAGGAAGCAAGTAACTCATTGGCCGACGAGGTTCAAGTGATTGCGCATGCGCATATATCAGTAGAACTCATCACAGTCAGTACTTTTAAATTGTTTAAAACATAGTTAAAAAAGAAGTGTATAAGTCTACATGTCTGATTGTGTGCTGTATACAAGAAATAAAACTAATGTGAGCGCGAGAGTTAGCAGTAGGCTCTCGTCCAGGACATTGTCTGTTAAAGCAAAGTGCAAGCTGACGTTTCCGGTGTCAAGATTCACGCAGACGACGATGTTGACGGGAGTTCCACTCAAGTCATCAGGCTGCTCTGGTCTGTAACACAAAGGTGAGAATCTCTTAGCCCCTACATTTCAGGTGGTTATACCAACTGCTTTGTTGTAATGCTGGACTAGACTCTGTTGCACCTATCTGAGCAATTCAGCTCTGACGAGTACCTGACTCATATTAGGAAAAATAAAGACGGATTGGCAAAGGTCTGTCGTGTCACACCATGAGGTGCCGCACCGGGTGACACCCGATCTAGCGACGCCACTGTGTCCAAACCTTTTATATACAAAGGTCACTGAATCAAATGAACTCTACTTCGTTTGCCCTACATGCTGAAAAGCGTTAAGGACACACGAAAAGCGTTAAGGACACACTTTATTTATATACATGAGTTTAAGACTACTTGAAAGATGCACATTTAAATACAGAACAAAATGATGCACACAAGTTCATCATTGCATTATGAGCAATGATTTCTACGGAAACCACTTCAAAAAGAAATTCATACAAAGGAATACTTACATTGCCATTATTAGTTTCACTAAACAGATGTAGATCTAGATCTAGATGACAAGGACAAATCTGAAAAGTGATAAAATGTATTACAATTTGATAACATTCAATTAATTGAAGAAGGGGAAGGCAAAATTAAGCATTCAGCCGTTTTTTTTACTTTGTGGTTACAGTAGTTACACTCAGTTGGCCAGGGAATAAAATAACATTTTCATATTGATCTTTAGTTTTCGACTTTCGTAAACAGCCTGCTATGGAATAGAGCTGTGGTTTTACTTGTAACGGCTGACTGATTCACAACTAGATTATAAACGTTATCGTTCACGTGAAACGAAAACTGCCACAATATCCCGTGGGGCACGAATCACTTTGTACCACACCCCTTATCATTTCTTCATTTCTCTTGCTAGCTTTAGGGATGTCTGCAAAAGTGAGTTTTTGTTGAGTAAGTTTTCTTCAATAACACCCCACTGTGAGTACGATCTTAAAACAAGGACTACATTTGGTAGCTTGAGGTGTAATCACAAGCTGTCTTATATAATGAAACATGGTCTGGTCTAGTTATTCGATAATAAAGTATAGAAGACAAAGGCTATTAAAACATGCTTGTCAACTTTCCGACTCACTTGCCGACAATACTTTTTATTGGTAAGTTTA